TTATTATTATTACTATTATTATTATTATTATTATTGTTATTATTATTACTATTATTATTGTTATTATTATTCTTAATTGATAGATTCATTCATTATTTTGAATTTAGATGATATTGGCTAGGTAAAAATTTATTCATCATGGTTATTAATAAGATCATCTTATATTGTTTAAGTATAACCTTAATTCTCTTCAAATATTATAACTTCTTCCTCTTCTAAAATACTATTATCTTTTTGTTCTTCCTATTCCTCAATATTTTGATATTCTTCCTCTTCATATTATAATATTTATATTTCATCGCTTTCTTCCACACTTTGAGCATTTGTTTAATTAGTTTATCCTTTAAACTCACTCTAATTTTAAGACAAACCTTTTTAAACTTCATCACTATATTCTGAATTCTATTTAATAAGAGAGTCTGAAATATTTAATAAACTTTCATTTTGAGATATTAATGATTCTTATTCATTTTAATCTGTTTTCAATATTTATTATTATTATTCCATAAAATCAGCTTAAGAATCTTCAAAAATTTTTAAGTTTTCTTCTGAAGTATTCAAATTATTTGTTTCTTCGTAGATGTATTCATAATAATATTCATATTCTTCAACCTTAACACGTTCGGTTTTTCTTTCAGCATCGCTTTCAATAAAATCTTCTATTATAATCTCTCTTTCTACTTTATCCAAAAATTCTTCTTCGCTTAATATTTTCTCCCCATTGTCATTTGATGGAAATTCAAATTATATGTCTTCTATCTCTTCTTCTGATACTGTTTGATTCATCGATGAATTTTAATTCATACTCTAATTATTATCATTAATTGATGTATTATTATTAGCATATTTCTTTTCTAAGGCAATCTATTGATTGTAATACCCCTTTCTTATTTATTTATTTCTTCAACCTCTTATTTAGTGTAATTTCTAGTTGGGGGTGTGTAAAAAAAGGAGTTAAAAACAAAAAACATAAAGAATACGAGTAAAATTAGAGCTTTGATTTATTTCCACATCAATTAAATTATGATATTAAATTAAAGGCATTATTGAATTCTATACATAAAAAGTAAAAACTAAACTTAAGATTTCCTCATGAACAAATCAAATTTAACCTTAATTAGATAACGAAAGAGGTATTTAATCATCATGATCAATTTTGAAAGAGGTTGCGATATGAAAATAAATATTTACTGAAGAAAATATAGAATTATGAGATATCCTTATGTATATATATAAAATAATTATTAGATCAATTAAAAATGATTGGAGAATAAGAATCTTGTCAAAATAGTTTAGATTTGTTTTATTTTTCTATTATCTTATTATAATTTATTAAATAATGGATAAATTGGATAAACATAAAAATTGTGGGAAATGCATTGAATAGTTTGAAATTTAAAAGGCAAAGTAAGATGGAACATTTAAAGAACTTAAAACAAAAATTCTTGGAGTATTTATTATTATACACATAAGTCAAGACCTATGGCAAAATTTATAATGTATGATGGCGAAGGGAATTACTAAAAAAAATTGAATTAAGGTATATAATTTATATAAATTGAGAGCACTAAAATCATAAAGTTTAAATTGATATGACATGGAAGAATGCAGATATTGAAGTATCTAAAGAAAAAGATAGTGATTAATAATTAATAAAGGAGTCCTAAAGTTTAGTTTTACCAAGAATATATCATCATAAAGTATATAATAATACATATTTTAGTAAGTTACAGATTTCAAACCTATTAAACCTATTCCAACTTAAGGTATAGATTTTTTTTAATTTAGCTCACATCAATAGATATGGAAAATATAGCCAAAGATATCTCTTAAGATCAGATCCAATGAATTTAAGCGATAATAAATTAGATGATTATTTGCCTTCTTCATAGAAATATGGACGGTTTTATTTGAGTGAAGAACCAAAAGCAAAAACTATTGTTTCTGAGTCTTAACCTTTTGAGGGATATAATCCAATCAGTCCATCTTATAATGTTTTTCCAGTTGAAAAGCCAATTCTAAAATATCATAGTATGAAATCATAATTGTTCAAATATAAATGATAAAACTTGACTTATAATTCAAGATATTATAATATATATAATTATGAATAATAAATAAATTGTTGATATTTTATTTGACGAAATTGATTCTACATAAACTTATGCCATTTAACAATATAGTACACTCTTTAAAGACTAAATAACTGCAATAAGGGCATTATTTTAGACTAATGGAAGAGGCTAATATACTAGAAAATGGGAAAGCTAATCAAAAAGAAACATATTATGCACCATAATATTTCCTTTTTTTAAGAATTTTCAATATATAAATACTATTCCTCTTATTGTTGCTCACTCTATATTGCAGGTTTATAATAATTTATATGATTTGAATGGAACTATCAAATGGTTTAATGATATTTATTTTTTTGATAAGAAATAAGCTGGAATATTGGTCTAATCAGAAATAACAGGTTAAGATGTTGTAATATTTATTGGAGTAGGTATAAATATTGATTGGAATATTGAAAATGGAATAAATATAGAAAAGATTCTCAATAAATAAATTAATGTTGAAGAATTATATGATTAATTGAAAGATAAAATTGTGCAAAATTTATTTTTACTTAATGAACATGGATTTAAAGTATTTTAGAATCATATTAATTAATAACTTTATAAGAAAGGTGAAAAGTGTGTGTTTATAAATTAAGAGTCAAAATTTGTTTGTGAAGGTATATTAGAAGAAATTAATTCAGATGGGATGCTCATCATTAGAGAAGCTAATGGATTAAATAGAGTAGTAAATATTAATTTAAAGATGATGGTATGATTTCTAAGTAATATGTATATTCAGATTTAAGAATAGAAAATATATATCATCTTCTTATTTTTAGCAAATCTATGTTTCTTAAATTCAAAATAATCATTAAAAATTATTAATGTTTATAGTATTCATCTAAATTAAAAAATTATATTTTTAAAGTATTTAAGATACTTTTTTTCAAGTTGTTATAAAAAAGGAAGCTCTTATATCAATCTTAAATTTAAAAAATAATAGATTGTTATTCCTTCAAAAATTTAATTAATTTCTTAAATAATTATATCATTCTATATTCCCAATTTATTTTGATAAAGGAATTAAATACTAGATACGGAACATAATTTGGGAGAAGAATATTGATTACTCTAATTTTAAATTTGTAATAAATTTTTTTGTCACTTTCATTATAGTCTTGTTTAATATATTTAAAGATATGAAATTTGTATACTTGCAAACATCTATTTTAATCTTAGATTGAATAATTAGAAATTTATTAAACACGAAATTTTAGATTTCTAATTATTTTGAGCATAGTAAATACATAAAGTATTTGAAAAATTCATTTAATTGTATAATCATTATATTGATAAAATCATATCTTCATTCTTATTAAAATTGACGATTGATCCTTTAAATTAGGAATATCATTTAAAGAAAAGAATTCTGGCATTATCTTTTCCTCAAAAATCAAGTCCTATTTACATATATTCTAAATTATATTACAAAGTCATTTCTTCCACAATCTAATTTTTCAGCAACACATTTTTTAGCCCATTCTACGTCCTATCCTACTTTAAACTAACTTGTTATGAGTTAATTATCTTTACCTCTAACTCTAATTATGTCTCTCCCTATTTAAATTTTAGCTAGAGTATAATTTAATGATTTACTTTTATGCTTTGTCCAGCATACAGTTCATTTTCTTATTCGAAAGTCATCACATTAGTATTTTTGAAATTAAGATTAAAACCTTTAGACATTCTCTTATATTATAATAATAATTATACAACAATTATAAATTATAATATTAATTAATACTATGAATAATATGTTTTTAAATTATTAAAATTTAAATTATATTTTTAATCATTTCTTGTTTGTAAAACAATAAGTTTAGTTAACTTTTAAGTATTTCTAAAAAATAAATTATAATCATCAAGAAATTCAATAATAACCAATAAATTCTTCAATTCTATTTTTATTATATCCTTATTTACAAATTAGATAATATTAAGCAAATTGTTTAAAAATATATATAATGATAGGAGCAAGGTATAGGTAATTTTCTTTGTATAATTGCACATAAATATCAATAAATCAATGATGTTTGCGTCCTTTTTCAATAACAACAACATTTGGTCCATGACCATGATGATGGTGATGATGATTATCAGCCAAAGCTGCTCCAAGAAGAGCTCCTCCAATTGCTGCTCCTACAACAGCTCCACCGCCATGGGATTATTAAGGAGGTTTTTAAGCAGGTTATTGTTGTATTTCAATTATAGTTGTTGTAGAGCCTTGTGGGTATTAGCCTGGGGCTTATTAGGGATATCCTCCTGGTGGGTAATATCCTGGTTATTAAGGATATGTTTATGGTGGATATTAACCTTGAGGGGGATATTGTCCAGGAGGTGGATATTAACCTTAAGGAGGATATTAACCTGGAGGAGGATATTATCCTTGAGGAGGGTATTATCCTTGAGGAGGATATTAACCTTGAGGAGGATATTATCCTTGAGGGGGATATTATCCTTAAGGAGGATATTATCCTTGAGGGGGATATTATCCAGGAGGTGGATATTAGCCTGGAGGTGGATATTAGCCTTGAGGAGGATATTAGCCTGGTGGATATTAACCTAATTATTTTATAGATTAGAATACCTTGTTATCCAGCTGGAGGTGGTGGTGGTGTTGTTCCATATCCTTAGGCAGGAGGAGGTTGAGAATATGACATTTTTGAATATATTATAAATCTTAATTATCAGAAACTTGTTTATTCCACAATATTTACATTGAAAAAAACAAAATAAAATTTTTGGTGATTTTTTCTTCTATATAAATTATATTATATATCATAGTCTGTGATAATGATGATATCTTAGTTTTATAAGAATTTTTATTTAAAATATATAGTAATCTTAAAAAAAAATGCTGTATGTTTCTATTTTATGAATTATTTAAATTTGTTAATAAGCTCTATATTTACTATAATAGTTTTTATGTAGTTCGCCTTTAATATTTTATGAATTTTAGATTTTCAAGACAGAAAGTATACTTCTTACAATAAATTTAGAGTGTAAATGTTACTATTAAATTTAATAAAATGTATATTAAAGAAATGTAAAAATTACTTGTTAATCTATGGATTCATATATGAGAGTATTGAAATACTAAGAGATTATTGAGTAATTTAATTCAGTTATTATTTCTAAGTTGAATACTTTGACTGGTAAATATTATAATCTCCAATAAATGTTTATTTAAATGCTTTAAAAAATTAACTATTCATCCAAGGATTCCTTCAAATTATGAATGTATTTTGTTGCATAAAACTGGTAAATACATATCCTATATGATTAATAAAGATTTTCTTCTAGCTTTTGTAAGTAATAAGATTTATAAAATTGATAAAATTTTTATAAAAATCATTTATTTTTTACTTTTAAAAATCCCCTATTTTAATTTATTATATTCTTTTAGTAATTAAAAATACACTAACAGAATAGAGAGTGCATCTTGAATTTGATAATAAATTTTGAAGAAGTCTGAGAAATTTTAAATAATATAATTAAAACTTATATAGATTCCAAAAATATAAAATTTATTGAATTCAATATCAATTTTCTAGTTTATGATAGGTAAAATGATATTCATTTAATACTTATACATTATCAAATTAAAAAAAACTCAATACTTTTAAATGATTTTTTTAATTAATTTAATTTATTAATGTAATAAGACCTTTGCAAAGTAGGATAATATTTTTAGTGGGATCAAAAGAAGGTTTTGGGAGAAGGAAGGATTAGTGTGATTTATCAAGGTTTAAATTCGAAGGATAATTCAATAATTGCAATAAAGAAATTTAGATCAGATTTGTTGCAGAATAAAAATTTCTATTTGAGAGAACTCTTAAAATAAGAGGAATTACTCTTAAGAATGATGTAGCCAGAAAATTTCATTAAATGCATAGCTCTTGAAGAGACTTAGAATTCAGTCTATTGGATTACAGAATTAGCAGAAACAAGTTTAAGATAGTATTGTTATACTTATTTCTAGGGAGATGATTCAAGCAGAAAATGGTAAACTTAAAATGGAGTAGGTGATAAATCTCTGTAAAAATTTATTGGATGGTTATCTCTTTCTTATAAATTAGAATGTATTACATTAAGATATTAAACCAGAAGGAATTTTAAAGAAGAACAACTAATATTATTACTCTGGTATATAATTGCATTTGACGTTTTAGATTTGGGCAATGGATATATGATAAGTAGATTCTAAGGTGAAAATAGTTAAACAAATTATTAGTCTCCTTAGAAGACTTTAAATTAAATCTATACTGGTAAATGTGATATATGGTCAATTGGCATAATATTATATGAGTGTCTGTCAGGTTCAGGTAATAGACAAATTTAGTTTAAGTTCCAATCATCCATAATAATGAAACCTAAATAGCAAAAGAATTCACAGATGCATATTAAAATGAACCAATTTATGATTTTATTATTTAATGCATAAAATATTCAGAGAGTGAAAGATTAAGTTGGGAGTAAGTATATTCTCATCCTTTTGTGATCAATTAATTAGACATTAAGGTCGATGTTAAAATAGAATAAAGCTATCCAATTTTTAAGGAAGAATTTTTAAAAAAAACTCTTCCAGCAAATCTTTATTTAATGATTGGGCTAAATTCTCAAACTGATAATATCGAAAGATTGACAAAATAAGAGTAAATTTATTTTAATATTTAATAGATTTATTCAAAGTGCTAAAAAATAAAGTCCTAATTCTTCATCAAAAGAAATTAATTCTTTATTTTATGAAATAGCAGGGTTCAAAGCCACTCATATTACTCATAAAGATATTAGTAATTGGTAAAATAGGATCAAAAACAGATTAAAGGGAGATAGGGGTTATCATCATCAATTAATGTCCTAAGAGCAGACCGAATAAGATAATTAACTTAAGAATTTACCTGTTCTTAAATGGACTATAAATTTAGATAAGTAAAGATTAAAGAATGTGTCACTTCTATATCCTGAAGTTGTGGAAATAATATTGAGTATAAAAGCATCTATGATTAAATTTAATACAAAGTTAGATGATCTTTTTAATAAATACGATCCTAATTAAATAGGAGGAATAACAAAATAACAATTGGATAAAATAATAATGTAACAAATATTATTTATATTATTTAGGAAAATATATCCAGAAGGTAGAAATGATGTTGTAATGAGTCATGTGTTTCAATTTATTAATTAATTTTAAAATGGTAAAATATCTAAAGCAGAATTTTAGTTCTGTATTTTTGATTTAGATATATAGGAAATAATTAAAAAAAGAAATTGAGGTATTATAAATATTATAAAAATAATAATTTATTATTTTAAATGGATAAATAAATATATTATATTATTTAATAAATTCTCTTAATTTATCATCCAATACTTTCTATAATTACTTATTATGTCTACCGCTATTGAATTAATAAATTATTTTATAGATTCGTTATAGCATCAGCCCATAATTAATGATGCTTTAATTTAAGTAAAAAATTACATCTGTTATATTGAAAGCTTAAACTTGACAGAATTTTATAAAATGTCCAACTAATTCTTATTATTGTTATTTGAAAAATTATTGAGTTTATGAAAATATTTAGTTTGTGTAATATCCTACTAACATTTCAATTCCCATTTCTTATTTAGTTTCTTAATCACACATATATTGGAATGCCAACTTTTTATTTTATAATAATTCTTATGGATTTAATTTTATATCCTTGCTTAAATCCCATTTTGAAATATCACCTAATTAAAATAATCGTTCCTTTTTATAATGTAATTTAGACTTGAATCTTTCTAAATCTTATTAAATAACAGATCTGGTTTCATATATTTATTTAATTGATGAATTATAGTGCTGTTAATATTTAAAGAAACTATTTAAATACTCTTCTGTTTATTCTATTTATTTTCCAATAATATTGCCCCATGTAATCATAGTGTTATTTAGATTTAGAAAAGTAGCTGCCAAACCTTATGCTTATCCTGTTGGTAGTATTTAATTTAATTTATTTAAATGTTAGAATAGAGAAGCAAATATCTCTCCAACACAATAAATCTTTAATGAGTTTTATAATTATATTTCCTTTAAACTCTTACTTAAGACTCTAATTTTTTTATAGACTCCATCAATTTCATAGAAATAATCCTAAGTTTAATTGGCATATTAATATAATTCTATTGGTGCAACACAATTCACTTAACCTTCCTTTGAGAACATTTTTTAAACTGTTTATGGAGGAGCACTTTTAGTAATACTCTTTAATAATTAATTACATTTTACTTCTTGAAACTTTTTGAATTCATTATTTTATGTTAAACTCAAAAAGTTCTTAACAATTATATTGCTTTTCAATTCATATGATTTAAATATGCTATTTAGAAACCTTTATAAAAATATCATTCTTTTGTTTAAATAAACATCTTCAAATGACCTTGATCTTTTCTTATGAATTGGTGGAACAACAAAAGCTGGATAAAATTTCTATAATGAATCTCTTAACCATTCAAAATCTGAATATCGTCTAAATACAATCCAACCATGTGGTTGTGTTTCAATCTAAAATACAATATATGAAGAGGAAAAGAAACCAGCACTCTCTTTTTTATATCTATTTATATAATATTAATTTACGTCAATATCTTAACAGACACATTTTCACCAGATAATTCATTTGGTAATATTTAATAACAATTTACAAGAACAGGAACATTATTTTATTAAATTATCTATTAATTTTATTAAGGTTATTCTTATGGTTATGCTTATTATAAATTGCCTTAATCTTCTGAATTATTTGGTTGTTATTCCTCCACCTATTTTTAAGATTCCTTAAATTACTCAATTGCAGACTCTAATAATGTTTAACATAGTAATTACTCAATTCATCTAAGCTCCAATTATCTATATCATCACCACCTTCAGGCTTTAAAGTCACAAGAAATTATGCGCATAAATCAGCGTCTAAACCTTTCTCGACTTAATCCTACAAATATTGTTCCTTTTGTGCTTTATCACTTTATTAATTTTATGACATATTGTATAAAATAATTAAATTATATAAAGATTATTTTTGATCTAATCTCTTATTTTTATTTATTGCTATTAATTGTTTTAACATTAAGAAAATTTAATGATTTTCTTATATTAGTCTAGAATGAATTTCTAAATTGTAAATGTTGAAAAACACTGAAAATATTGAAATATAGAATAATCAATAAATCTAATAAATGTAAGGATTTAATTAAAATTCTATTAGTTTAATCTTATTTGAATAACGATTATTTGATCTTAATTTACAATAAATCAAATCATGATTTAATCTTAAAAATAATGATCTTATTTACATAAATAGTTATCTATTAATCTTTAGATAGTTAATGAATAAAATTGATAATATTAATAAAATAAAATATTATCAACATAAATTTCTAATTATTTGATGTAATTCGTATAAATAAGAATTATTTACTGATTTTCATTTTCTTTATCTAAATCATTATATATTTAAAATCACAATTCTTAAGGTTCCATCTCTTTCATCTATAATCAATTATATCATTATCATCAAATATAACATTAATGAAATTTTAATGAAGAATTATAGTGCATTTAATCATAATAAATACTAATAGCAAAATAGAATATATGTTGATAAACAAGATTAAACAGAAATTGTTTTAATGGTATAATATTATTTATAAATATAACAAAATTGTTTTGGTTAAATAAGGTGATTAATTTAAAAAGAAAGATATCCTTCTAAAATATATTTGTTAAGTGCTTAGTTAAGATGAATGAATTTATTTACATAATAATTTATTTTAATAATGAGTCAAAACTAAGAAAAGCTAGAATCAGAATTATTTTAGCAATACTAATAAGCAATTGACCTTTTGGAAAATGGCAATGAAGCATAAGGAATATAAATTTTAAAGGAGTTAATGCAAAATCAATCTATTATTAATCAAGATGATAAAAAAATTTTATATGGCATCTATATGTCATTAGCTGAAATTCTAGTTTAAAGGGATTGTGTAGAGAATAAATGTGAAGCTTTATATTATTATTATCAAAGCACATTAATTTCTGATAATTGTTGGCAAACCTAAAGGAAAATGGCTTTAATATTTAGGCAATTAGGAATGATGCCTAGAGCCTTAAATGTTATATTAAAAGCGTATTAATTAAATTAGATTATATAGACTATAATTATGTAATTAACCTAATCTCATATAGGCGATATTATATCATGTTTGTTCTATTTGCTTTTTAATGAATGATTAAAAATAATTCGATATATATTTTGATAAAATGAGTAATAATAATAATTTGAAACTTAAAATTGCATAATTGAAATAATACTTTATAGATTAGAATAATGTTACTGATTTTGTTAAAGAGCTTTTGTAAGAGTAATCTTAAATTCAATAATAATTGGAGAAGATTCCTTCCGAATCAACTTAAAAATTATAATATTTTAATTAAACTTTCTAGTTTGAAATCAAATTAGATACTTATGATTTAAAGAAATTCTTTAAAAAAATATAGAATATTTTACAATTTAATGTCAATTTTGAACCAAAAAAGTTTGATTTTATTCAAAATGATAAATGTTTTATGTCTAATACAAAAATTGTAGTTATTTCTAAGGAATAACAATAGAATTAAAAAGATATTTCAAAAGAATTACCAAAAGAAAATCAACCTGTTAAATAATCAGAGAGATAAAAATCAAAAAAAACAAAATAACAACAAGATTAATAATTTGTTTTAGATTAGATAATTCAATCTAATCATAATAAATTGATTGAATTATTAAAATAATATGATGGAAATGAAATATTTTAACTCAATAATAATAATAAAAATTATAATGATCAAAATGAAAAATAAGAATGTCCTGTAGCTAAATTTCTATTAGAAAATTTAAATAACAAATAGTTCTTAACTATAATTTAATTATTAGAAAAACTAATATAATTAATATGTTAAGATTATTAATCAAATGATGATGTTCCCTTTTAATAATAATCAGATATTTAAAATGAAGAAACAAAAAGCCCCTAAACTAAAAGCTTAAATGGTTCTTCATACCATGAAGCTCTTAGAGGTTTAATAAATTGTATTGTGTGGGCTTAGTACTCTACAAACAAATTTACTGATAATCCTAAAATTAAATTAACACTATTAGAAATTGCATATGAAGAATTAACTTTCAGATTTAAAGAAAAGAAACCTAAATCTCCAGAACAATAAAATAAAATTAAAAATTTTATTAGATTTATTAACAATATGAAATTGGAACTTCTTCAGACAAACATAAATCAAATAATAACAGATGAAACAGAAATTAAAAAATATTTATCAAATTATTATAGAGTGATGGCCTATATACATAGCGATATCAATTTTTTTTAAGGTAGAATAGCAAAATAATGTTCATAAGAATTAAATAATTCAGAATTAACTTTAGAAATATTAGATAAGATAAAATCAGCTTAATTTTAAATTTCTTCAAGCTCACCACATTAATCTTAATAAATATAATAAATACTTACTTAATGGGAATAAAAAGAATAGAGACTAGAAGATAATGAAAAAATAAGAACATAAATAAATTATGTTTAAGATTATTTGAAATAAAATTAAAGCTATGATATGATTAAAAGATTAGCTATAATTTGTCTAAATTAATTTTATTTTGTGTAATAAAAAGAAGAACTTAAAACAATTTATAAATTTGTACAACCTTTAATATAGCAATTTTTGAATATTCCATAACCAGATCTTTCTATTGGGTTTATTTTTTTAAAATATTCAATAATTTATTCTTTAATGGAATTAGATTCAAGTGAATTTTTGGCTAAATTTATTGAAATTTACCTTTTATAAACAAATGGTTAAAAAAAACACCTGCTTTTGATTGAAATTTTAAAATTTCATCATCTTAATATAAATAAACTATTTACTTATATAAACATTGATCTAATTTTATAAGAATTTATTAAAACTAAAATACAAATGAAAAATAGATATAATTAATTAATAGAATAATACAAAAGCAATGTTTAAAATGATTTAGAACTTCGTTACTATTTGCTTCATTTATTGGATTTAAAAGATCAATATACACCTTAATTTATAGTTCAATAAAATGAGTTATAAATTGAAGTTGAAAAATAAGAGACCAAATATCCATAACCAGAATCATTTTCAAGTGCTTCAGAGGAAGAATTAGAATCAGATGAAATATTTAAAAAATAATACCAAAATCTAAATTTATTATAGGATTAAATTGAAAGTTCATTTAAAATAGGTAAATAGAACTACTAATTTACAACTAAAACAGTTGAATTCTTGCTGAATCACACAATTAAAGTAAACATAGGTGATCCAAAAATTATTGAGCATATTAAAAGGTTAGCTAAGGAAATAGTTAGAGTTGAATTTGGATTAACTACTAAAGAATTAAGCAAAAATTTTTAATATATATTTTTGAAAAGCTATTATCTATAATAAGAATTTTAGAGGGATTTATCTGAAATGGAACTTAAATTTATGGGGTATTTTTTAACTCATTTTTCTAAAACTTTTTTAGATTAAAAATAATTGAATTAATTTATTATTGATATTGTTTAGAAGTCTTTACACAAATATATTGATCCTAAGATTTAAGAATATGCTGAATGGTTATATTCATAAATATTTACTAAATAAAAATCATCAATTTCATCAATAAAAGAATTTTAAGATTATATTAATCAAAATAATTTGTAATGTGATTATAAATCTAATTTATATTATTAAATTTAAAAGTCAGAAGAAATAAATTATAATGAAAATCAACCTAAATTTGATTTAAAAAATATATGTTATGCTTTAGCCTATAAAGAATCACCATTTTTATGGAATTATATATACTAAGGTACTTTTGAGTAAGCTTTAAAATAATTTAAATTGAAAACTTAAACAGAAATTGATTGGTTTTTAAGTTAGAAAAAGATTCAGGCATATGTAAATAAAAATCCTCTATTAAATCACTTAAATGAATATAGATATGTAATGGATCTGATTAAATTGAAGTAAAGACAAGTTGAATATTAATATTCTAATAATGAACAATTGTATAAAAAAACAGAATAAGGATATTATTCACTTTATCAAAAATAATATAATATACCAAAAGATATTTTTGAAATAGAAAATAATTTTAGAGTTTTATATTTATATGAAAAAAAAGTAATGAGAAAATATAGGAATGTACCAATTGAAAGAATTAATTAAAATTTAAATAATATTTGCTGTCTTTCTAATTTAATCAAGTAAATGAAAGAATATGATATAGAATACTTTTTTCAATCAAATGATGGAGAATAAGAAATGAAATAAGATCTGTATATAAACATTTACAAATTTATTAGAAGATTCTTGAGACATAGACTTTATCATTAGTTATAACAATTAATATAAATAATCAAAGATAAATACTCTTATTTATTAAATTAAAATCAAAGCGATCTTCAATTTGAATTTTAATATGATAATAGAAAATTCAAAATATCAAATTTAACTTAAGAACAACTTGAGATAGAGGAAAATACATATTACAATAAAGAAGAAGTAAACTTAATTTTAAATAACCTTCTATCTATATTTATAGAGAACACATAAAAATTAGTTAGAAAAAAAGCTTAAAGGTATATAATAGAAGCATTCTATTATGCAACTCATTTAAAATTTAATAGTTAAGCTTCTATAGACTAAGTTTTTGCATAAATATCTCCTATCTATCAACCAAATAGTAGAGATCTTGTGTATTATTACTTATAAATTGATAAATATAAGTGTGAAAAAGATGAAGTATTAAGTCATTACCATTCCTCAGACTTAATTTTTAATTATTAGAAGTCTAAAATATTAAAATTGATTATTAAAATATTGCTAAAAATGTAAAAATACAAAGAAATCTACTAACTTTTTGAAAAGCTATATAAAACTTATGATATTAGATTATACTAAGCTTGTATAGGACTACTAGAGGAATATACAAAGATAGAAGATAAAATTTTAATCAGAGATATAATATTGAAATCAGAATCATACAGAAGGACTACTGAACTATTTAAATAGGATTCTATAGTACCATTGCTAAATAATATGTATATAAGATTTTATGAGAAAGATCAGCAGGAATAAAATGAAGGGAATTTCCTCAATGAAACTTTAGAAATTAAATTAGAAAAAGGGAAGAAACTTATAGAGGATTATAGGGCCACAAAGAGAAAGCCTGCTAAACCAAAGGATTAATAATAATAATAATAATAATAATAATAATAATAATAATAATAATAATAATAATAATAATAATAATAATAATAATAATAATAATAATAACAATAATAATAAACTTAAATTTTTTAAGCACAAATTTAAACATAATAAGAATAATTAATATAATAAGTTGTTGATGATGTTGAATAGTATATAAATTAAGGAACTATAATTCAGAGTTTCAATGATTTTGATAATATATGAAATAAATATCATTATTTAATTCTTGATTGTAACACAGATGACATGATAACATAGATTTTTTTTACTTTTTTCTTTGCATATTTTTATAATCTAGATATTCTAATTTCTTAATCTGACATATACGATTGCTTTTTATATATAACTTTATTCAATTCATTAATTTCTGCAGTGATAAACTAAGTAAATGTTTCTGTAATAAAGCCTTTTCTATTTACACCATCTTCTTCTAATCCATCTGCTAAAATTGTATTATATTTCAATGTAAGAATAAGCTTCATAAATTTAAATATATATTCAATAGGATTAACAAATTGAATTTAATTTTTTGGCATTAACTATTTTGTTATTTTTATCATTTCCTCTTAAAACATTTAAGGAATTAATGTTTTAAGGACATCTAAATCAGAATCAGTAATTTCCTTTAATTATTCTTAAATTTTCATTGTTGTGAAATTTAATTCATCAAAAGCTAATTTTTTATTAGTATCTAGAAGAGGAACAGTATATATTGCAGGAAGTATAAGTGATTTAATAAAAAGGGATTGAGCAGCAGTAAAGAATGAATTTAAATTGGGAATACCATTTGAAATCATGTAAACCTCCCTCCATAATTCTGCAACCTCACCTTCGGTACATTTTGAAAAATTTCCTTTAACAAATTTATGGAACTATTTAAAGTTGATAGGTTATGCTGGAAATGCAAAAGAAAGAATTTTGTATCTATTAATTCTGTCTATTCTAAATATTTCCAATAATAATTATAAAACAAATCCTGTTTAAATTAATTTTCTGTCATCTAATCTAATTAAATAATAATATTACTTTTTCCTTCAACAATTCTTTCGTTAACTGCTCTTATAACTAAAGTTTAATTGATCTTATCAAATTATTCTAAACATCTCAATATTACGGATTCTGCTTATTATACTTTCATATAATGGACAACACCATATATTGCATCAAATGTTTCAATCCAAGGTCCTCTTCTCAATAAATAGCGAACATGAAGATAGAAATATAATTCTTCTAATGAGTAAATGTCATTTAAAAAATGTCTAAATTATACTACTTCCCATACTTTATCTAATCTAGGTACCATTAAATCTAGATAAAAAGTGTGCAATTACTCTTCTATTTTGACCTTAATTTATAGTATATAAATTTACTCTTTTTGTATCTTCTGGAAATATTATAACTTAATGATTCTCAATTGTGAATGTGCTTAACCAAGAAATTATATAACTTTAAAAAGATATATAAGTATTCTTTTGAAATTCAATATACATGCCATCTAAAATAGCTCTAAGTAAACCCATAAAATTATTAGATATTGGTCGTATTTATAGATATTAGGTTTCCTAATCAACAATTCTTTTTTCTAGAAACAAAGTAAATGGTGGATAATTATATCTTAATGTTTATAATTCTGCCTCTTCATCTCTACCTACGACTAACCTTTTAACATCAACATATGCATCAACTAATTTTGAATCATACTCTTGGACATTCTTTAGGAAACTACTCATCATATACCTTTAAAATACATGATCTTCATCTAAAATTTTGGTAATAGCTTATAATTGTATCATATCACCTTCAACTCTACTTGAAAATGGTGCATCAACTTCCTTACTTCTTTTGACTGTCATTTCATCTATCCTATCTTATAACATTCTAATTTTTTCAAAACTTTTTTGCATTTATTTTCTTTCTGTTTGAGTATTTAATTTATTCATTTATAAATCTTCATATGTCATATAATAAAGTTCTCTATATTAATCTTTTTATTCTTTAGAATATGAAACTTGAAAAGTTAATTCTTTTAATTTTGATTCATATTCTTATATTTTATCTTCTAATTTTTTAAGTTAAATTTAATGTTTAAATTCAGTTGATTTTAAAGTTTATATTTATTATTACAATTAAATTTATTTATTATTATCATCATATAATTTATTTTATTGTTCTTCAATTGTTTTATTTAATTAATCAATTTTTTATTATAATTAAGTGGCTAAACTATCTTTATTTTGATTCATTAAAAATTATAAATTCTAATTTAAAAGTTCAACTTTCTTTTCAAGTTAAACATTAATAACAGCTAATTCATTAGATCTCTAAAAGGTTCTTGTAACATTTTTAGCATTTTAATTTTAACTTTCCATATATTTTATCATTTATGATTAATCTTCTATTAACCTGCTATTATTTTATCCTTACTCTCTGCTTTATTTTAATGCAAATTAATATTCTTTTATTTCTTTAGTTTTCTCATCAAATATTTACAATAATTATTCAACCACTTTTATGAATTAATTCACTAAAGGATTAACTTTTTCATTTTCAAACTAGCCTGCTAATGCTATGAAATGATTTACTTTATCATTTATTTAAGGAACTTTTATTTATATGTCTCTTAATAATTACTGAATTCTCTATTATTCAAGTTCTTCAAATTACATTATTTTTTCTCTATGAATATAAACCATTGAAGCATCTAAATCAAACATAAAGCGTTCTGAACTAATTAAAGGCTTAGAGACTTAACTTCTAATAGTTTATGGTTGTTCCGTTGTCTATGTAATAATTTTATGATTATTAAGTGAATTAGTAAGTTTTTATATTACAACTTTTTATTATGTACTTGCTGAGATTTTATGAAGTTAAGGTTCAAATCTTGGTTTATTAACATCAGGGAAATCAAAAGCTCCTGAATTATTTTATGATTGTGACTTTTTCATCAAATTTAATTAATATCTATAAATTAATACTCATTTCGATTCGTAATCTTTACTTAGATACTTCATCTTTCTGCAAGTTTTAAATAGAGTTATAGGTAATTACACATATGAATTTTAGTTGATCGCTCTTATATAAATATAATTGATACTTTTCAAATATCTTAAAATTATAATATTCCAATTCATCTAAATATTACTCAGTTGGTGTTAGATGTAAAAATGCCCTAAATGATTAAGGTGGAATCTTATTCTAAAATTATGAAGTTCTTATCATTTATGTTCTAGCAAAAGCAGCCACTTCTAAAACTGCATCATATAATTCTTCCTTTGGTTCACCTTGAATTCTAAATCAAATAATACCCCTAATTCTATCCCAAAGTGATCTAACATTTATACTATGTTTATATTTAATATCCTCTGGTAAATTAAGTTTATAATTTTAAAGTGTGAATGGTACTCTTCTTAGATAATCTGTCATCCCAACTGCCTAAGCTGATAACTCTGTTAATTATTTTAGATCTTAATTTTCTATATCCATCCTCATTAATCGCAAAAACAATAAAAATTGTGATCCTCTGTTTGCTTCTGCAGCAGTAGCCATATCTACAAGATTTGAAAATTCTCCCTTCTCTACTTATTATTTGCGATAATTTATCATTTTTTGAAAAAGATATTTTGGTAATGGGTTGTTTTTACAACTGTTATGAAGACAAATTGATAAAGGTTCTCTTTAAGGATTATCTAAAAAAATCTCAATATCTTTAGAAATTTTACTTAATCAATTTGATCTGACCAATATTATAGTTTGCCTACTCCAAGTGATCTTTCTTTAGAGGTTTCTTCAATTCTCGCTAATTCATTATGAAATTGACAGATGTTCAAATAATCTTATCTTTATTCAATTAATAATGAATACCTCACTTATTTAGGGATATGCTTGGATATTGCAAAGCTGATCCAATCAGTCTTTTAGACTAATTCAGAGATATATTTTTGAGCATTTTCAAGTTTATAGATTGACTTTTGAGTATCTGTACAAAATTTAAAGACAAAATATAATTTATTCATATTTATCATTAATATTTAATGTTGTTTCCATTTTTTATTTTTTCTATTGAATAACAAAAGAATTTTTTATTGTTCAGGATGATAGTGTTATCATTTGACTTATTAGATTTTAATTAATTAGATTTGCTCATATATTAATATAGTTAATTCCATTTCTAGTACTTTTCTAAGATCTTTCTATCTTAATTAATCATATCAACAAAGTAATTATACAACTATTTTCTAAACTTAATATAAGATAATACGAATGATATAATTATAAGTATTTTTATAGAACTTCATTCCAAAATAGTTGGATGGATTTTGATTAGATCTCATAATTTTTTCCATTTTGTTTCATAACAATAAGATTTGTTGTTCGATTAATTTCAATTTTAATATTATGAAAACCATAAGAAAAGGGACTTAAGAATCTAATATAAAATCAATTATTATTATTATTACCTTCTCTCCACAACAATAAGATTACCATTTTATTAAAGACAAGCTTTTAAACTAAATTGTCCTTCATAGAGTGGACCACTAATAAATTTATCATAAAATTAAGGAATCTAATTATTTTGGGATTTTAATAATAACATTTTTAAAATAGGATGACTAGTACCTGTAATTAAATGTCCTGGATTATCCCAATAATAATCTTCAATCGCTAATTGAGTAGCATGTGAATCATAATTTATATGATATAGAATCTATGAATCATTTTTTTTATAAGAAACTATAAATTTTCTAATTAGAGGTGGATAGATATAGGGAAATTTGTATTTTAGCGTACTTTCTAAAGAGGTTGTATTATTATATTTCTTTTATTGATTATTAGAGTTACAGTAATAATAAAGTGATTAAATATTCGAACTAACCAGTAATGTTGTTTAGTCATCTTCAGGAACCATACAATAAATGTTTTTTGAATCAAATTTGAACATCATAAATAAATAATAAATAGATTTTGTTTAAGATAGTATAGGTAGTGTCACAATTGCAGTATAATGACTATGGATTCCTAAACTAATCATAAAGTTTCCACATTAATATTCATATGGCTCAACTAATTCAAATAATATTTTTTTATGATAATTCATAGAACTTTATAGCATAGGATGATTAAGTCCAAAAAAGGATTATATATTATCATCATTTGTTAAATCAATGCATTCAAAAGATTATTTCTTTTATTTTATTTATTTTAAATATTAAGATGTTCTTTTAATTAATGGTCTCTAAATTCTTAATTTTTACCATAAAATACAATTTCTTAATAATCTCTTTCTATTATTATCAAATTATTAATTATGAAGATGTGAACTACCTTGAAATTAAATACTCTAAACATTTTCATCTTCTTCTTAACTGCTGTCATTTATAGTGATCAATTAAGATGGCTATTTATTTAAAATCATTTTTTAGTTTATTCTTATTTCTTAATAAGGTAGAGATATTGATAAAAATTTACTTTCTCCTTGTTCTTGATTTTCAAATTGTATTTAAAATTAATTATTAGGCTCTAGATTGATACCCTAAATCTGATCAAAGAACTTATATTCTTCTTTGCTTTCTCTGCATAAAAACAATATATACTTATTAAATTAATCACTCTTATGGAGTTCTTCTTATTTTCTAATAGGACTAGAATTATGAGAAATACATTCTTTATTATCAATTTTTTAATCATTTCCTTCTTTTTGATGTTTCACCTCTATACAATTTTAAACTTGGTTATGTTAGATGTATCTTTTGCTTGACTTACTGCGACTTCTACTCCTACTCTTATCATCACAATTATTTTCTCTATGCATTTAGAGAGAAAATTAACAAAATATTTAAATTAAACTTGCAATATTACTTCAATATTTATGTAATATTAAAATTAGTCAGATATAAATATATATATATTGATTCAATATTAATATATAGATATTTTAATTTATTAGATTTTTACTTATGTTTATATAACAATAATTAAGATTAAATATCAATCTTCAATTCTTTTTATCATGAATTGGAATCTATATTAATAAAATAAATATAAATAAAATTTATAATCTATCTTAATCTATAAATCTATTGAATTTAAAAGCATCATATAAGTAAATTATATGTGATATTGAAGAATTAAAATTTAATACTAAATTAGAAGAATAAAGATAATTAATTATTTATTAAAGATGTTAATTGACACTATTAATTATAGTTAATCAAAATTAGATGATAAAGAATAATAATATATATATTTATGAAATATAATTTAGAAGAAGTATGTTATTGGATTATTAAAAATTTTTTAAGATAAATCATCTATTGTAAAATAATCCTCCATAATTTCTTGAATAACCATTTGTTGTGCTTTTATTATGATAATCATTCATCACATAATTACTTTTCTTATATCCTTATTAAACTGCTATTGTTGGATCATATTATTTCAATAATCCTAATTCCTTAAGTTAATAAATATTTTTTTCTAATTATTTATTTCCTAAGATTAAACTTGCATCTTCAAGTATTGAGTCTAAAATATCACCTTCCTTTCTTTTGAAGTGACGAGTGCTAGTTTAATTCTCAATTAGCAAAGTTTCTTTAAGTTTTTTAAAAGCAGGATTAGAATTGGCCATCGATTATGATCTTCTATTAGTAAGATCTAATCTAGGTAGTTTATCTTAAGAAGCTTGCATTTATAAATTATTTAATAATTATTCATTGGAGTGATAAATATTTATAAATAAAAGTGATAAATAAAATTACTATTAATTGACCAAAAAAATATAAAAACTTTCTTATTTAAAAAAAAATAATTTATTTATCCTATTTACTATTATTATACACACATATGTTCTACTTTAAATTATCTTAACTTAATCTAGATATATATTGAAGATCTTAACTTTAATAATACATATTATATTTAGCCTATTTAAGTTCTCTTTTATTTTTATTATTAGATCATAGTGAACTACTTATCAATATATTAATCATGTAAGAAATAAGAATTTGAGTATATTGTAATCTCAAGTTAAATAAAAAATTATCCTGATGAATAAACAGTCAAGACTTATTATAAATTTATCAACTTATTATATAAATCTTAAGAGTTCAAATTATTATGTCTTATAATATTTAAGTGAACAGATTGATATATATTTAATTACTAATAAAATTTATTCATTTATAAGTCAATATTTAGAGATAGCTTATAAATAAATCGCGCTCTCCCATATTCCTTTTTAAATTAAAATCAAATTAATAATTAGAAGATTCATATGGTATTATATTAACATCAATAATGTCAAATTTGATAATGTGGTTGAGCATTCAAATAAAGTCACTAATGAATTCAAAATACAAGTTTACTGAATTAAATATAACAAATATAATAGTAAATCAAGATGTATTTGAAACCAAAACAATTCCAGATCTTTAAGGACCTCTATTTATAAATCTATTTCTTCTTATTCCAAAATCCATATCAGAATTAATCTCTGTTGAAGACTGTTTAGAATAGAAGTCTTCTTCTTTCTTTTTTGGGTCTGTGCAAAATTTGATATTTTAGGATCTAAGGTAATTAAGTATAGTTCTAATTCTAGGATTAGGTTTGTGGTATAAATCTAATTCAAGGGAATCAAGACTTGAATTTAATTCTTCGGACATTTACTTATTTAATTATATATGAATTAATAACATAAATGTTAATTAAAGACCTTGGGATATGTCAGAAATTATCATTCAGAATTTGCTTCTAGAAACATTATCAACCATACCCTTTATCATAAGTATTCTGCTTCATAAAATTATTACTTCACAAAAGAAATCAACGATATTTTGGGTAAGAACAGAACACCAGCTACTATTTAATTTTATGTAAGCAATTCGTGATAAATTAAGGATGATACTCAATTTTAAGAATTAGGAGAAAGAATGAAGAGATATTACTATATTAATGAATAATGTACTAAAATTAAATTACTAACAGAGTTCTACAAATATCATAATGATTTACCTCGCTTTACTGTTCATAAGAATATCATAATTATTTTGAATTTGTATTATGATAAAAAGCGAAAATTTGAATATTACAAAATACAAAGACAAATAGAATATGAAAATAGAAACAATCCAAATAAAACTCCAAAAGGTATTGTTGGAGATAAACCAGTAGAAACTTAAACAACTCCTGAATCTGAAAGTAGTAACAATTCAACTATAAATAATAATGTTGAAAACATTCTTTAAGATATAATATAATAAGGAGATTAAAATTAAATAAGCTAAGAAGAAATTAGTAAGATCTCTAAAATACAAGAAGATCAGAAAAGTGAAATTATTCAAATGTTGAAAGCCTTTAATTTAGATTAAATTAATAATAACAAGATTGTTTAAAAATATTAAGTATTTAAGAAATAAAATCCATCATTTAAAAAATCATTAAAATTAGAAGAATTTGTATCATCTCAATCTTCAAGAACTTAGAGTAAATGTAGTAATTATATAAGAGGTCCTTTATCAACTAGAGTTGCCACTGATTCTATAAGTAAGGTATTAAAAACATCTTAAGAAAAAACTAAAGATATTAATATACAAAAGGAAAGTCTTATTTAATTATTTAATAAATATTCTAAATTAAATAAACTTAAAATTGATAATAAAATTGATTAAAAGAAAGATAGCAAAAATTCAATACCTGAAATGAAATAACTTGAACTTAAAATTATGAAATCTATTATGGATATTGAAAAAAACACTCCAATAGCTAAAAAGAATAAATCTACATAAAATAATAAAGGATTACATTAAATATTATGTAAAGTAAATAAGCCAGATTCATTTAGAGAAATTAATAGAACTTCTTAATTAAAAAGTTCATCAAATTAATCTATTAAAATTAATAATCAAATAAATTGCTATAAAATTTCCAAGAATTTTAATAGCGTTTTGAATCCAATCTAATATTAAAATAATCCTTATGAACAAAAGAGATGTTATGATAAATAGTAATCAAAATTAAAGGCAAATGATTTAAAAAAATTGATGATCTATAAATCTGAAAAGAATTCATATAAAGAAAAAGCTAAAAAAAGTATTCCTAAATTAAATTTACAAACTATTCATACATTTAATAATCTTCAAACTAGCTTAACTTTCAGAAATTAAACTAGTTCTGTTTAATTATTGACTCCAAAACCTTTGACTGTGAGATGTAGAATCAATAATTTAATTAATTGGTAAGTCAAAACATTATAACATAATAATAACTCTTAATAAAAATGATATAAATAAATTTTTGTTTTATATAATATGTAATCAATTTTAATAACTGGAGGGTTAGGATATATTGGATCAATTACTATTACTGAATTGTATAAGGCTATTGGAAAATAATACAAAGTAATTTAAATACTCATCTTTAGATAATTATTTTAGATAATTTGAGTAATAGCAAAATCTAAGTTTTAGATACTATTAGTAGTATAATAGGTGAAAAATTAGATTTGCACATTGTAGATATTCAGAATTATAATGAATTAAGTGAAGTCTTTAATAAATACAAAGAGACAAATCCAATTAATTATATTATTCACTTTGCTGCATTAAAGGCTGTTGGGGAATCTGTTGAAAACCCTATAAAATATTATTAAAATAATGTTGTAGGCACTTTGAATCTATTAAGATGTGCTGAAGAGTATAAATGTTAGAACTTTTTATTCAGTTCTTCAGCAACAGTTTATGCACCTGGTGAATTTGTAGATGAAGAAGCTCCATTTAAACCTTCAAATCCATATGGTGAAACTAAAGTAACAATAGAATATTTGATAAAATCATTATCAAAGAAGGGAGGTAGATATCTATGTTTAAGATATTTTAATCCTGTTGGAGCAACCAAAGATGGTAAGCTTGGAGAAATGCCTAATAAACCTAACAATTTATTTCCTTATATAGAATAAGTAGCTATAGGTAATCTTGAATAATTATATGTTTTTGGAAATGATTATAATACTCATGATGGTACAGGCATTAGAGATTATATTCATGTTTTAGATTTAGCAGAGGCTCATGTAGTAGCATTATAGGAATTAATAAAAAGAGATGAAAAGAATGAAAATTATTATGATTATTTTAATATTGGAACAGGTAAAGGATTTAGTGTTCTAGATATTGTGAATGAATATTCAAAACTTGTACCTATCAAATATCAGATTACTAATAAGAGAGTTGGAGATGTTGCTATATTAGTTGCTAATCCAAATAAAACAAAAGAAAAATTAGGATGGATAGCAAAGAGAGGATTGACAGAAATGTGTTAAGACTCATACAATTTCATTAAATCAAAATAATGATGTATTTGATATCATCTACCCATTTTATTACCAGCTCCTTTTTCATTATCATCTTTCCAATCATCCCAATTTCTATCTTTTAATGTTTATTAATCTGCCCAATAATCTTTATCATCATCTTTATCTTATTCTAATTTTTATTATTCTTCTTATGCTTTTTTCATTTTTGCTTCTTAATCTTTAGCAAACTATACTTTATTAGATAATAATACTTTCATTTCTGAATCAGCAAATTCATCTAATGTCATATTTGGAAGTCTGGCAGCATTAGGCTACCAAACTTCAGTAACATGTTTTTATCTAAGTTCTGATTCAGTTTAACAATGTTAGCAATGTGGATCAAAGAATTAGGGTTGCATAGTAGGTTTCTATAAGATAATTATTATAAATAATTACTGGAATATTCCAAACTTTCATTTTTGGGATGGGTTTTTCTTATGATTCTTAATATTGTTATTGAAGTTGTTTATCTTTTTTCATCTATGATTTAAATTTTAATATTTCTAATTCTTATTAATTAGTATTAAGTATATCGAATGAAGATATAATTTTTTAATTTAATTGTAAAGTTATAATTTCTCTCGATAATTTATCATCATCTAATTTTTATAAATTCTAAAGTAGTTTAATCTAAAAATACCTATATCTATTTATTCAATAGTTATTGTTCTTTATAGTTTGCTATCTTATCATCTCTATTAATTTGTAAAGTATCATTTTCCATTACAGATTTAAATAGTTTTAATTGTATTCCTTTTAATATTTCATATTGTCTTAATAGTTTCAAGAATTCCTTTACATAATAATTAGATGTCTCTATGTTCTTTTATCTAATATCTTCATTTTACAATTAAGTTAATGCCCAACCAACATAATAAGGCAATAAAAAAAATTTGAGATGTTCTGTTTTGATTTCATTGAATTCCTCATTAGGAGAAAATATGTGTTGTTTAATAATTGCTTATTGGGTTTGTTAGAATTTCTCAATTAATTCCATCAATTTATCATCACCAGGAGTTTATTCTTCAAAAATATTTACTTATTTAAGCAATGTATCAAATTATTTAAGAATTTCTTCCTCACTATTCATTAAAAATAATAAAATAAAAATGAGTGATTAAGATGATAGATATCAAAGAGCATTAAATAATGAATTTCAATCAGAGTTTCTATAATTTGAGAGTCAAAGTGAAACTAAAGGAATAGATGTAAGAGATCAATTTGGAAAAAGATTACATTATTGGAGGTAATGAATAATTGAAATTATTAAAGTGCAGGAGATAATATATATAGTGTTACATTTAAAAAGATTAAAACTAGATTACATTGGTTATTCAATCCTGACACATATGATAAATAAACAAAGAAGCAAATATAAAGACAAGCATAGTTATATAATATCTAAATTATATTGGGAATTATTTTTGTATGTCTAACATAATTATCAAGATAGTAGCACCTTTATCTATTGCTATTACAGTAATTTAGCCAAGAGTAGCAAGAGCTAAAAGAGAATTTTTAATGCATTAATACGATAAAATAAAGTAGATTATTTAATTTATATATATTCTAGTATGATTTCTAAAGCCTTAGGAGTTAAATAATAAAAAATGGATTTTAATACATTAAAAAGGTTTCTTTATAAAAAAGAAGAATGAATTATAATATATATATTTATGATTAAGATTTATATATAAAAAAAAGATCATAATTAATAAAATTAATAAATCTTTTTAATATTTCAAAGAGTTATAGATTTTATTTAATTTAATTTTCATTTAATATTAATTATCAAATATCACTTTCATAATCATCCAAATTTTTTGATTATACTAATGGAAATTCATCAAAATCCTTGCTATTCAAATTCCAATAAACTCTTTCATCATCATATAAATTGTCTTTATTGTAATTGTTTTCTAAAGAAGTTCTTTATGTTTTAGAGAATTTAGATATGTGTAATTTTAATTCGTTAATTTATTATTATAATTATGATTTAATATCCTTTTATAATTTTATTTGATATTCTAAGTCTTATATTTATGATAATGTATAATATGATCGTTATTATGCTATTAATAAAAAATCATCTATTGTTTTTTAATTATTTAATATTTTTCTATTGTAATTTTCAAGTACTTCATCCATATCATCTGCTAAAGAATCACCTGCTCCCAATTTACTCATAAAATCTTTAATTTATCTTGACTTTTTCATATCAAATTATTAATAAACACTTACATTTTATTTTATTTATTTTAATTATTCTAATATTTTTGATAATTTTATTTTATATTGTTTATTTTTTCTATCTAAAACAAGAATTTAATTATCTTATACATTAATCTCCATCTAATCCATATATATTTCATGTTTTAATTATTTGATCTAATTAATAAGTTCAGTTTTATGTTGAATAAGTTATTATTTAGATTTATTCATCATTATAATCATAGTGTAATTTTTAAAGGCATATTCTTCATTATGATCAATTTTCTAATAGTTCATCATATAAATTCTCTTCTCTTCATTCTCTAATTGTTTTAACTAATATTTTACATTCATACTTGCTCTTTAAGTTATACAATCTTTTATTTCATTGTATATGACTCAGGATCTAATTTACTTAAAGGAACTGAAGTAAATGAAAATTTAGTCTCACTATTTAAAAAAGATAATTATTGCAATTAATTCTTTTCATAATTTATCTTACCTCTCAAATATTAAATGTTTTGCATGACTTAATTTATTTAGATTTAAGTATCAATATTCTGTACTAGAGACTTATCAGAATAATGAGATATAGATTTATATTTGCTCTCAGGTGAATACAAACTATTAATTTTGGGTCTGCTGAAGTAATACTCTTATTACACTAGTTTCATTAATTTATTAATAAAAATTTATATGTTATCCAACGATCATCAAAATTTTGTAAAGCTTGTTAGAAATCCATAAATTAATGCAATTTAATAGTTAACATAATTAGTTACTTAAGCTAGCCGAACAAAGAGCACTTTATAGCCCTCCACCAAAAGAATAGCTGAAGTATAAAAATGCGAAAAAGCTGATAAATAAGAAAAAATAATACATACAACAAGAGAAATCAATTCACAATAATCAATGAGAAATTACTTTGATAACTCCATTTAAAAAAATAATAAAGAAAATATACAATCTAAAAAGCTATTATATTAAGAAAATAGATCATAAACTCCAATTGCATAAAAGAGCCCAATTACAATTAATACTAGAGGAAGAGGATCTGTTAGTCCTCTAAGATGCATTTAATAAAATATAACCTCTAAAAGCTAAAATAAATCAGCTTTTAAGTCATCTGAAGACCCTTAAATTATGGATATGGTTGATAATCTAAAATAAAACATTTTAAGAGACTTATAAGAAGTAACTAAGAGATATCAATCCAATAATCCAAAACCAATAGAAATGCTCTAAAAATAAAGTGAAAAAATCAAACACTTATTAGATTATAAAGAACCTTAACTAAAAGTTCCTTATTTTGACTATTCCAGTCAAAAAACCATAAAACATCCAGAAATATTTAATAATGAAGAGAATTCATAAAACAAATAATAATTTCTAGAACAATAGTCATAGATTTTATAATAACAGTTGGAAATTATAAAATAGTAATAAGAAGCCTTAAGACAATAATAATTATCAGTTTTAAACAGCAAAACTAATTTAAGTAGTTTTTATAATCAAATGCGTAAATAGCACAATGAAAGTATTGAAGATATCTATGGTAAATCATAATTCACAATAAGCAACTTATCATCAATTATACCAGTAGAAGTATCTGCTAATCAAAATAAGAAAACTAATGTCTCTTTTGAAAGTAGTTTAGAATAAAATCCAATTAATTTATAATTAGAAATAGTATAAGGAAATGATTGTAGAACAACATTTGGTCCTTCTTAATTGGAATCTTTTATAAAATCCCCAACATAAGTGGAACCACAATTATTTAGTGAATAATAAATTATGAAGGAAACTGTTAAATATGTTTAATTAGATAATAGTTAAGGAAAGGTATCATCAGCAAAAAGATATAGTAATGATAATTAAGAAGTAGTTAAATAGTAGGAACTTATTGAATAGGTGCCTCCTCCTTCAGCTTTCTCTAATAAATCTAATAGATATGATTAATTATTATAAAACTTCTAAAGTCTACGAAAATTAAGTAGAGAACCTAGTTTTGTAATAGAAACAAAAAAGTCAGTTTAGATGAATGATCTTAATCATATAAGTGATTTTGCTATTATGGGAAGTCAAAGAGAAAGCATTGCTTTATGTCAAACGAAACTAATTACTTTTTAAGAGGTAAATAATAGTCAAGAAGAATGTGTATAATCCCCTACTTCACTTTTAGGTAAGTAATAAATCTTAACTTTTGAATAAGAGCTAGAATAAAAATCTCTCTATTCAAATTAATCACAATATGATCAAAGATCTATCTAATAATTACTATAAAAATCTAGTTTAACATAATAATAGGCTTCTTCCTTTTAAAAATAATCTATATCAATCTAACAAAGTACAGAATAAACTAATAGAATACTTGAGAGTATTAGATCCAATGAAAGTTTAAAATAAAGAACAGCAAGCTTTACTGAATTTTTAAAAGTAAAGGATGAATTACCAATCAAAATTACAAATGTTTAAAAATTATCCATAAGGCCTGGAATAAGTAAAAACTAATATATAATTTAGGTTTCCTTTAGTATAAACAATAAAATAAATATTGATTATTACTTCTTTATAATATCATAATTATTCATAATTATAAATTAATTTATATTAGCTTTTTTTTATCAAATTGAAATCGTTTCAATTAATTTAAAGTATTTCAATATATTTGAACATTTGGAATATTCAGAAGAAAGACATAATTGTTCTTTTGAAATTATTCTATTCTAATTACTTTATGATACGCCTCTATATGAGTCTACTTCATCTAAATAAAAAAGATTAGAATGTTAATTAAATTGTAGATTATTAGAAAAGAATTAGAATAAATAAAAGAATAAAAATACGATTAAAAATAATAACAAAAAGAACTTAGTTTTTATAATTGTTTTTACTATATTAGAAATGATTGAATCCTAAATAATTTAATATCAATCTTAAATATAATTAATTTCTATAAAGAGTTTTACATAATTAGATATGAATAAGTTTAGTATAATTATTTTTGCTGTATTTATTCTTATTAAATCTAATCTAAAAAATTTAGATGTTTATAGATAAATACAAATAATTTTAATTGCTCTTGTATATTTTCTATTTTGTTTCTTATGTTTTATAACAATCTAATGGGATTATCATATAAATATAATATTATTTTGATATTATTAGTTAACTTATAATATTTTTTTAGAGATTTTATAGTTAAATAATATGAATGTTGACTTGAAAATATAAATATATATGACTTATTATTAAATATAAAAGATAACAACTATGGATATAATTGTAATCATTCTAATTTAAGAAAATCAATAAAGGATAATTTTCAAAGTATGTTATCCAAATTTTAAAAGCTGACTCTTTTTGTAGTTTTTATTTATCTAGGAATGGAAGGACTGATTGCTACTTTACGATTTCTAAGAGTGTTCTTAAATGTTTATTTTAAAAGTTATTCTTCATCGATCGTTAATTAAATGCCTTCATAATTCATGATCATCCGATTCCAAATTTTTAACTTTCTATTGATTGATTATAAATTACTTTCGATTCCTTTAGTTTTGGATCTTAAAAGTAATTCAAAGAAATCAAGATCATTCCAATAATGATCAAGAAAATGAGAGTCTAAAGTTCAAAATAAGTCACTGAAGGTTACATAATTAATTTTAATTATATAAATAAAGCAATATAAGTAATTTATATAATTAATCTGCAGATTTTGATCAATTAAACTTTTTTTATTATTTCAAATATAGCTAGATTTCTTTTTCTTTAAAAGAATAATTATTTGTTTAAATATTATTATTTAGAATGTGGATTATTTATGAAGAATGATTTAAATCAGTATTTCAAAATAAGAGAAAAAGTTTAATAATGAAAAAATATTATATATAAATCAACTTTTGGAATTTATTAATTTCTATTTTCTTTTCTTATTCATCCTCTCATGATATGATAAAATTGTTAAAATGATGAATTCTTAATTTATTCAACTTTTTATCTACTCATCTTAATCAAATTTGAAAATTATTAACTTTGATTTAATTATACATAAATTTTGTGATATATTTTAAAGGAATAAATTCTGTTGAAATTAATACATAATTTAAGTTAAAAGTATGTTCAGATATTATTAAATTAATTTATTCCTTTTATAAAAATGTTAATTAGTATATTTATTACTTGGATCCATTAGAAAAACCATTTCTTATTTTTTCTATTTATGACTTAATTTTTCCAAAATAAATGAAATTTAACTTACTTAAATCCAAGATGTATTATAATAACAAAATAGTCTTGAAACCTTTTTTGTGATATTTAAATATTATTTATGCAAAGGAAATAAAAATTCTTTATAGAATATAAAGCTTTTAATTTTCTATATCTAACTTCTCTTAATATTATTTATCGATATGAGTAGACATCCTCATTTTAATTTTGTTATGCTTAAAGTAAAAATACTTTATCAATATTTGCTTAATTTTTAGTAAATGGAGGATTCATAATAATATCAAACGATCCATCAAGCATTTGTTATAATATCTATAAATATCTTAGCTACTTTTTCAAAAAATTAATAAGTAAAAACATCAGATTAATTGCAATATAATAATTCTGCTGTTAATATGCTAGTTCCACAACTAAAATGCCCACATACTAAATTTTCTTATGATTTTTCATTAAGAATCAATTCTATTATCTTACTAAAATAAGTAGGAAGAATCATATGTTATTCTAGATTCTAATTTAGTTTACCTTAAAATTAAGGACTAATTTTAAGAAACTTTCTAATTACTTTTTTTTATCATATTTAAAAATAACTAATAATATAAATAAACAAAAAAGTCATTTTGGTTTGTTATTTATTTACATGCTTTCAGGAGGTTATAATTTTGGTTTTTCTGGACTGGATATTAAATGAAGTGCTAAATAGGCAAACATTCTGATTCCTATAGCTAATCCAATTAATATATAGCAACATTCCCATTTTGTTAATGTTATAGATAGCATTTCAACTGGATCACATGGTTATCCTGGTAAACATTCATAGTTTACATCATCAAATTCATTCTAAAAATAACATTAAATTTATTACAATGACAGATGCCTCAAATCCATACTTGAACATTGATAAATATGTGAAAGGATAGAATATATAAGGAATATTATCTTAGTTAACAAAGAATCCTCCCAAAATCATAAATGGAATAACTAATGCAGGGACTAATGCTGTAGCTACTTCAATCTTTGGTATGATGGTTGATAAAAGTAATCCATATGAAACTGCATATTAATATGTTAAGAATTAGATGAAAATTAGCATAAAGAATTTGCCTACATTATCATCACTTAATCCAATAACATAGTAAACTATTATAACACAAAGAGAAGGGTAAACTATTTGGAATGGAAATTCAGCAAGTGATCTTGCCCAAAAGAATGAATGAACACTATAAGTTTTGTTTATTCTTTCTCTTAAAAATAATGGTCTTTCCATTGAAAATGTATGTAAAGCTCCTTAAATTCCTCCAAATGCATTAGCTGTACAAATAAAGAACAAAGCTCCAAATCTATTTTACAATCCTTCATTATATTTACCCAACTAAAAATATATTTAATTTATTATACATCTGAATAAACGAGCATTAACATAATGGCATTTACAATAGATTAAAATATTTTCAATTTTACATCCATTGGATTTCTAATTTCATTTAAAAATGATCTTTAATAAATAAGGACAAATTATTAAATGAATCCAATGTGAAATCCATCATCATTTTCTTTAATTAATGCAGTTTCATGAGTATCTAAATCTTTAATCATATTTGAATTTTTATAATTTTGAATAAATCCTTCTAATCTCTATTCAAATTCAGCCTTTATTTAAGCATCATCAAAATCATCAGATTCTCCTGCTTGTATCTTTTCTACTAATAGTCCTTCTTCATTCATTAATTTCATAAAGTAATCTGAAGGATTAGAAAAATTAGGACATGAATATCCCATAGTAGCAAAATAATCAATAGCTTATTCTGCATCTCCTTAATAAATAATATTTCCTCTAACTAAAAGCATAAGTCTATCAAAATTATTAAAGATTTCAGATGAAGGTTAATGGATAGTACTTACTATAGTACGACCATTTTTGGCCAATCTCTTTAATAGATCAATCACTTGTAAGGCAGTAGAGGAATCTAAACCAGTAGTAGGTTCATCTAAAAAAATGAGACTTGGATTTGTTAATAATTCTACGCCTATACTAGCTCTCTTTCTTTCACCTCCTGATACTCCTCTAATTTATGTATTTCCCACTCTAGTATCTGCACATTTAGTTATTCCTAATTCTCTGATCAAAGCTTCTACTCTTTATGCTTTTTCCTCTGCACTTATTGTTAATCTCATATTAGCTGAAAAATAAAATGCCTCTAAAATAATTAGATTATCTTATACCTCTAGGAGAGAAAGTGGCTAATAAAATATCATCTTGCATGACATAAGCCATTTAATCATTAAATTTATCAATATCATTAATTCTTTTCCCATTCAAAGATAGTTCTCCTGATATTTTTAGATTGTCAGATATTAAACGACCTGACAAAAAGTTTAATAAAGTAGTTTTTCCTGATCCTGATGGACCTAAAATAGCAGTAAAATGAGCAGGTTTCATCACTCCTTGAAGATTATTAAGCAAGCATTTCTCTGTTGAAGTCTTAAATATATATATAGGAATTACATTTCCAACTTTTATGGTGGCATTTATAATAAGTTTATCCCAAGCTAGTTCTATTGGTGTAAATTTTCCTAATGAAAATTCAGCTCTATTATCTGTATTTACTAATTGTTCTTCTCTGTTTCCTAAAATCTAAGACTATGTTACCTATTGACTATAGTTTATCTGTCATTTAACTAATATTATTAATGGAATTAAGAATAATTCTTAAAGCTTTATATTACTAGAATTGATAAATTCTGAATTTTGGAATTCTTTAATTCCTACTATTTATTTTTATATAAAAATTTTAAATTAGAAATATTCACTAAAATAAATTAATTTATAATTGTTCATATTTATATTATTATTAGCAGAATAAATGAAATTATTTGAATATCTAAGGCTAATGGAACAAGAGATTATTGAATTGAATTGAATTCATAAAATAAAATAATTCTAGTTTAATTCATAATATTTCATTCTAAATTGTATTAGGTATTAAAAAAAATATATATAAAAAAAAAATAATTTTTATTCTTTATTCATATGATTTAAATAAATTATAAGGAAAATAAAAAATAAAATAATATAGATCTATAAAACTCATTTTTTATTTCCCTTTCCTTTTTTCTTGCCTTATTTTTTATCTGCTTTTAAATCTTAAGGATCCTCTTTCACTTCATTTGGATCAACATTCAACATGAGTTTGCTTGTCAATTTAATAAACTGCTCAATCTCATCCACGTTTCTTGATTTGAAGATGCAATGCTTTTTATCATCTGTGACTGTGAGTAAGGCTAATTACTTTATTTTATAGTATTTGACTTTTGCTCTAGCTTAAGGGGATTCCATAAGTAAATCCAATGCTGCTGTCATGAATGAATCCCACGATTTAAGCATTATATTATTTAAATTAATGGATCAATAATTAACAGAAGATTAAATTGCCAATTATAAGGAAGCGTTCTCTCTCTTTGATAAAGATGGTGATAATAAAATAAAAGTATATCTAGTTAATTTATATTTTTAAAGGTAGATGACTTGGGTTTATTAATTAGATCATTGAATTAAAACCCAACAGAGACAGAAATAAGTGAAATGAAAAACGATGTAGATCCTGATTCTACAGGAATGGTTGATTTTCCAGAATTTCTTAGTTTAATGGCAAGAAAACATAGAGATGTGGATCCAGAAGAGGAATTAATGGATGCATTTAGAATATTAGATAAGTCTAATAAAGGAACAATAAATGCTAATGAATTAAGACATATGGTAAAATCAATGGGGGAAAGATTGACTGAAGAAGAAGCAAATTAATTAATAAAAGAAGCAAATCCAGATAAAGACTTGGAAATCAGATATGAAGACTTTGTAAAATTGATAACAACAAAATACATTTTATGAAAGCTGTTTTTATAGTCAAGCAGTTATATTATAAATAAATTTAAAATGAATAGTAGCGCTATAAATAAATCCAGAAGTAAATAAAGTTCTTATGATTCTAATTAATAATTAAGAACTATTCTATTGACTTCATTAGCTAAATTACAGTATAAATGAAAACTTATATTTAGTTCCCAAAGTACTGCTTAGACAGGATTTAGTGAATTGAGATCATTGATTGCATAATTGTCATAACATTAATTCATAATTTTAATGAATCTCCTTGACTCAAATGATCTATCTAAATAAGCAAAGAAGGATTATATTAAAGTCTTTGGTATTTTAGCTGAAATAAGAGGTAATGAGATCCAAGAATAAATAACAAGGATAATTCAAATAATAAATAAAAGAATTTAAGAAGGTATAAACATATATATATATAATTTATATTAGGGGACTCTTCTTTATTACAAGTCATCTAAGATACTTTTGCTAATATAAATGAATTTACTATCTAAAATTCTCCAAATAAATTTGATTTATTCTTTTAAATCACTGAATTATTGCAATCTAATTTTGCGCATAATAACAAAGTGGCTTAGTTAATAAGTGCTGCTTCTCTATGTAGAATTATCAAAACTAGTTAATCACAATTATTAGAACTAGTTTGTAAATAATATTCTTAAAGAACCTTAGAGATATTAAAGTAATTTATAATTTCAACTTAGATCACCTCATTGTTAAACATAATAAGGATTATTAGAAAGTCTTTTATGTATAATCTTAACTGTAGAGGAGATTTTTGAGTCTAATTTAGAGGATTGTTTAAATACAATTTGTAATTGTTTAAAATCATCTGAATGGAATTCACGGTATCATTTTTGTTATGATTAGTAAAATTGCAGTTGATATATTGTATACATTAAGTGTTATTTTTCCTCATTTTTTTAGATCTAATGAACTATATTCAAATAAGATTAGTGAATTAAGATTTGATAAAATTAAGTAGGTGAGAGATGCTGCTTAAATTGCTATATCGTCATTAAAAGAATCTCATATATATTAATAATCATCCTAAAGAGAACATAAATCAGTATTCAAATCAAATGCAAATTAAAGTTTTTTTGAAAAAAACTCAGATATTTAAATTGTTGAGAACAAGCCAAGAGAAAATGTGTCTGAAAAATAATAGATTATTAAATAGGAATAACAATTAAAAAGTGATTCATAATAGTCTAAATACAATTATAAATAGTACACTGATGAAAAGAAATAATAAACCATTTAAATTTTGACAGAATCAAACGTATTAGCACCTGCTCATTTAGAATAATTTTAATATTTGTAGTTGCCTTATAAAATAAATAGTTTTGAATCAAGTACAAAAAAAGCATAATTTAATTTAAGTTAAGAATATTAAATTTCTAACATAAGTTCTTCTACACCTAATAAATAATAATCAGATCTAATGAAATTGTGTGATTCTGTGAAAGCTAAGTAATTAGATTAATATGAGTAACTCATTACTAATAGAATTGAAGAATCTGAATAAGCAACTAAGTAGGAGTTTTCTAAAATTAACTAGAGGATTGATAAAATTGAATTATTATTAGTGAAAATTAATGAAACAATTAATTAAAAATTAAATAATTAAGAATAATAATAATAATAATAATAATAATAATAATAATAATAATAATAATAATAATAATAATAATAATAATAATAATAATAATAATAATAATAATAATAATAATAATAATAATAATAATAATAATAATAATAATAATAATAATAATAATAATAATAATAATAATAATAATAATAATAATAATAATAATAATAATAATAATAATAATAATAATAATAATAATAATAATAATAATAATAATAATAATAATAATAATAATAATAATAATAATAATAATAATAATAATAATAATAATAATAATAATAATAATAATAATAATAATAATAATAATAATAATAATAATAATAATAATAATAATAATAATAATAATAATAATAATAATAATAATAATAATAATAATAATAATAATAATAATAATAATAATAATAATAATAATAATAATAATAATAATAATAATAATAATAATAATAATAATAATAATAATAATAATAATAATAATAATAATAATAATAATAATAATAATAATAATAATAATAATAATAATAATAATAATAATAATAATAATAATAATAATAATAATAATAATAATAATAATAATAATAATAATAATAATAATAATAATAATAATAATAATAATTAATTTGCTTGAAATAGAAAGTAGAATCCGTCAAGATTTATGAAAATGAAATGATTCCAAGTCAAATTCATTAAGAAATTCAATCAAAAGATAAAATTTTAAATAATTCATTAAATGTGATTATTTAAGAATAATAACAGAATTCCAAAATGAAAGATTTATTTATTTTTGGATAAAAAAGTGAATAAAAATTAGGAGAATCAAATATTGAATCAAATTCAAGAAATATGAGTGAAGGAGAATTTAAAGACAGATAAAATCATTAAAGATCATTTTCAGAAGCTTCTCCAATAAGAAATCAAGATTAATCAATATTAACTAAAGATAGCAAATAGACAAAAGAATAGAATTCTCCATAATTTTAATTATAGGATCCGAAAATTAAAGAATAATAGAAGATAATGTTAAGAGTTGAGGAACAATTGAAAGTATTTATTATATTTAATTTTAGAAAGATAATATAAATGAAGCTTTTTGCACTGCATTAACTTCTTTAGATGATTAGATTATCATATCAACTATGATGAAAACTGGTCCTTGCACAGAAAGACTTGATTCTACCTAAGTCGAATTTTTATTACATAAATTAAGAAGTCTAGATTGGATTGAAAATGCTCTGCATCATCATTTAGCTAGAATGCCAGCTATCCTTTTGAAATCAATATCAACATAACTAAATAATACCCAAACAACAGAATAAGTAAAAAGAATTTAAGAATTGATTGGTACCAAGAAATCTGGAACATCAAAGTGAATAATTAAAATGGAATTTTACATAATGAGATATTTATAGAGATAAAATTTTAATGATTGAATTAATAATATTAATCAAGGTTGTATTTCTGAAATAATTTGAATATTTTATTATTGCATTTACTTTCCTCTATATTCAACTTAAATCTTATCTTCTTCCCTATATTTCGAGGAGTCATTTACTTCATTTAAGTGGTTCTAAGTGTTAATAGGACTCTTTTATATATAAGGATTCATAATTTACTTGCATATATTCTTTAGGTTAATAGACAAATTACTTTAATTCTAAGAATTTCAGTTAAGTTATACAAGTAAGTACATTTACAATGTTTTTCAATATATTTTATCTAATTATGAAAACATAAGGAACCTTTTAAATGGATTTTTACTTTCAACTATCCAATGTTTCTTCAAATATTCATTAGTTGTCATATTAGTAAAAACCAAATAAGTATGAAATAACCATAAGCCTACAACAAAACAGGAAAACTATAATTATAATTATTAAGTGTTACTCCAAACGAATAAATTACAAGTATTATACTTACAGGATTATAAGCCAATGTTTCTGAAATGGCATCTGATATTTCCATATTTGATGATCTTTTCTTAGATTCATCGACAATATAAGAGAGACATACTCCAAATACAAATATTAGTTTAAAGGATACGGACATGATAAAAAAATAAAAATAAATATAGTTTCTTCTTCCTATACATTATCCAATCCAAGGACAATGATGATCAAATCTAACAACACAATTGTCACAAGAAGGACAATGAGAGGCTCTTGCAGGTCGATATATAGCACCTAATATAAAATCATATTAAATACAAGTTGAGCAATACTTTAATTTAAATTAGTGAGCCTTTATTATAAACATTTTTGAGTCCATTATAAATCTGTAATCAACTTTTGAATATTTCTATGGGACTTCCAACAGTTCCTCATTCATTTCATATTCAGGTCTCTTTTATCACTTAAATTCTTACTATCTTAGGTATGATTCCAGGATCCATACAAACTGTAAACCACAGAAAAACATAAATCGTTATTTAGATCAACACAAATACAACAGTATAACCATTTTATCCATTTTTTGCAAATTCCTAATATTTTGATATTTTTTACAGGGGACATAAATATATAAAATAGAAATGAAGGAATTGTTATAAAACTAACACTAGCTAATAATTTATGATTTTCAGATCTATAGGTGATAATATAATTTTTTAATACCCTGTTAATAATTTTCCATTGCACAAAATTTTATTCTCTGTTTACCAAATTTGATATAAATGTTTAGAACTTTTTGAATCTTTGTATTTTTATTTTTACATTAATTTTATTATATGTTTATTAAATTTTATGATATTTATTCAATAATGTATTTAAATATATTACAACCCTTTTAAATTAACATCTCATATATTTAAGTATTCTTAATTTGATTCTTATAAAATTAGAATGTTTTAATAATACATTTTTTAATTATATTTTTTATATGTGTAAAATTAAAAACAATGAAAATTAAGTTTTAATACTCTAAAATTATTGAAGCAATAAATAGAAACCTTATTAAACCTAAACAAAAAATAGAAATCAGACTTGATAGATTGTCAATGGATCCTCATCGTTATTGGATATCTGTAGCAAAAGGAATGGAAAGACCTTTTACAGGAGAATTTTGGAATGTAAATTTTCATCTTTTATGCAAGCATGATCAATAAGGTGTTTATTAATGTTTTCATTGCTAAAATACATTATTTTAAAGTGATTACAAATATTAATCATAAACAGGTTATGCATCATTTTTCAAGCATCACAAAAATAGTGTAAAAACTATTGAAACAAAAGAAAAATATGTAATATTTTAATAATAAAGAGGTACTCAGCTCTCTAATGTATGAATTGTTAATCTTATATTGGATAAATTTCAAAGGACGGACCACCTCCAACATTTTTAAGATATTCAATTAATTCAAGTGCTTTGAGATTTTATCAACCAAAAAAAAATTAAACAAATCTAAATTAATCATAAAAATGATTATTGAGGATATATTGATTATGTAAATATTCAAATCCTATCGGTTTAATGTCTCTTATTTATTCTAATAACTTTGCTTTATATAATATTAGATTATGCTCTTTTAATCTATTATTATCCTTTCTTATGGTAAATTAACATCTCTAAATCTTCTTACTATTCTTAAAGGTTATAGGAGATAATGGGAAGATATTCAATAAATAAAGGATCCAACAAAGCTACTTTTATTATTGATGAAATATTCTTTAATATTGAAACAATTAAGTTCCAGATCTAAAGAAAATTTTGTTCCTCATTCTCTAATCTTTCTAATGCAGGTTTAAGTACCTAATTTTAATCTCTAAGTTTCTTGCAATGATTTTATACTGTGATAGGTGCAGCTTCTAGTTCTCCCATTAAATCAATATTTAAATTGCATTAATGAGCCACTAAAATAAGAGGATGCTCATAATTTAAGAGTTCACAAGTAGATGCGGTGGGGGTTATCTTAAATTTTTCAGTGGAACAGGTTGTACCCATTGAAAATTTAATATTTTATATACTAAATCTAATATGAGGGAACTAAATGACTAATATTTATTAAGAAATTTTGAAGATTGTATATATTCTTTTAAGAATTAATTATTTAATAATAGTTATTTAAAACAAAAAGTATCTATTCAACTTACTAATTAGTATGAAAATAAGATAATTAATTATATTATTTATGATTTTTTTATAGTATTCTCAATTAATATCTGAAAAATAATTACAAAATTCTATTTTTAAAGGATACTTTCTTGTCATATATGAAATTTATTTGATTTTTCCAATCGATTTTATGTATAAGCTGTAAAACTGAAAATATTTAATGAATGTGAAATGAAGTTAAATTTTCTGAATAAGCAATCAATAGGATACCTTAATTATTAATATAGGTTTAGGAATACTAAGTTGAGCAAGTTAAAATAAAAGTTAAATTTAAAATTAATCTTTAGAAAATATAATTTAAAATTTTTTTATAATGATTAGTTCTTAGATAACGATAAAAAATACTTTTGTTTTGATAAATTGTTCAAAAATTTATTTAAAAAAATTTATGTATTTAAAACCTTAAATTAAATTCTTTAAGATAAATATAAGATAATCATATGGTAATTAAATTATAAATAATTAATTCTAAATGTAAATTATTAATATAGTTATCAATATAATCAGTAAAGGTCAATATTTAATTTATAAATATATTCGATATATCATAATTTGAATATATTCAATAATTGTAAGATTATAAATAAATTGAATATAATTAAAAGTGTCAAAAAAGGAGAATTGATAAATATTTAAATTAAAATTTTATTATAATAAACTACTAAATTCAAATATAATAATTCTTATTTCTCTCTTCATAAAATAATATAATATTACAAAATTAAAAATTAATCAATTTCATTTTTTTTATATTGTTGTTAATCTAAAAATAGTTTTTTTTTGATAATTTGGGATTTTGAATGAATATTTATAAATGATAGAAAAATATAATTTTCTTATCTATAGACATCTATTCATATATAAAGTAAGTAGATTGATAAATAGACTTAATTTTTAGCTTTAAAATAAAAATAAGTAATAATGGAGAATTATTTATTTAATCATTAATAGATATATAGATATTATTATTCTTTATCAATTTAAAATGCAACTCTCATAAGTTGGGATCATGTATTTAATATTTATGTAAGCATCCTATTAAATTATCAATTTAAGAATCTTACCTCTCCTCCTGTTTATTCAAATAATTCTAAAGTTTCTTAAATTAAGTCACCAATATTAACTCGTTTTCTTTGGTTGTACTCAATAAAATCACCTAAATTCGAATTTTTGTTTTTATATAAATTCATGATAGGCAATAGTTGTCGATAGTAAGGTACTAATTATTGGATCTAGCTATTTACCTAATGCCTCCCCAACCATTTCTCCACTTAACACTAATTTTTATAACACTTTTAATTAAACTTCTACAATACTTGGGTCTCTAGTATTCAAATTTGCTATTAATCTAAAAACTTTAAATTACTTTTGATTGGAATAATTAATTATGGAATAACTGGCAATATTTTATTACCTCCATTCTCTAGTAATCCATATGTTCCTAATATAGCTAAGAATCTGTAAGGATCCATTTTTTCCTTATTTTAAAATTATCAAAATACTCTTAATCCATCAAAAAATATTGGCAAATAATGATGATAATCTAATTATTCTGGAGATATTTTCCACAAAATTCTATTTACACTTCCTTAATGATCAACCTATTGATATTTTTTAATTTAGAACTTTAATAGGTAAATCGCCTCGATCATAATATCTTCTGAAATCTGAAACTGATATTGTTCTTTAATCATAAGCTCCTGCTTTTGGTGGTGCTGGTCTATATTCTTCTTTCTTCTATAATTATGAGCTTGTTCTTCCTCCTGTTCCTTAATGAGTTCCTTAATATTTATCTAATCATTCTCAAAAACTTCTTTACTTGTTATTAATGCATTTTAAGAAGTCTCATGAACAGGTTCAATTACTTTTTATTAATTTGCCTTTTCTTTTGGTAAATATTCTCTTGGAAAATCTCCAAATGGTGAATGAGGATTCTTAGGAGCATATGGTGTTTTCCATGCTTTATAATTCTGTACATATTTCAATCATTGTTTTACTTAATTTTCTTGTTTTTTCAGTATATTCTTTAGATGATCTTCTACTATCTGTTAAGAAGCCAAATTCTCTTTTCTTCCAACTGCCTATCCTTAAATTTTTGGAAGCATTTAATTATTTAATTTTTATTTATAAAATAATTCCAATTATATTTACTTATCAAAGGACAAAGAAGTAACAACCCAGTCAATCATAATAAAAACTTAAATTTTATTTATATATCTTATATTTATATAATAAATGTGAATAATTACTAAGTATGAATTAGTTTCTTTATTGGTTAATATTAAGATTTCATTTCTTCATGGAAGTTTATCAAAGCTATATTTATAATGTTAGTAATTTCTTCACTGAAATAAACAGAAACTCAAAAAAAAACTGAAAGAATTTCATTCTATTTTTAGAGAATTATCAATTACATTCTAACTCAATTAAATTAATTAATTTTTAAACATAAATCTTAAGACATTATATGCCGATAGAGATCTCTAAAATTCCTAGTATGATGTATTCTAGATTAATTGAAAAATTTTCCTATTTAAGAAAATTTTAATCAATAATTCTTTTAATATAATTAAGTTAAAAATGGAGAGGATTAATTTAACCCAATTTATTGGTATTCAAAAACTGGATTCAAGCCTTTGCAGACTTTCTTTATACTTTAGGAAAAATAGTTGTTAATATTTCTAAAAGATATATTACATATTATTTTTAGTATTCTTGAATTTTCAAAATTTTTAATATCAAAATTTAATTGTATTTGATTTGTAACAATATTGTTCAGTATTTGTTTAAACTATAATTATTGAAAGCTTAATTATTTTTTGTAAACGTACTAAATTTTCTTAATCATTCTAAAATAGTTTCTAAAACATAGTATTAATTTCAGACAAAATTTATAAGAGTATAGATTTTATTTTTCTACTAAAATTTAGTTATTAAAGGAAATTAAGCTATAAAATTAATTAGAAAGAAAAAGTTTAATTTTTTTAATTAGTCATTCAGTTAATGAAGATTATTCAACTATGATTATCCATCGATTCTTGAAATAGCTTATACTTTTGTTTTGAAATGGAGACTTAAATTGCTCTCTTTTCTAAATTAGAATTGATTAAAATTACATAATAATTATGTTCAAAGTTAAGATTCTCCAAATATTTGATTCCTTTGTTCTTAATACAGTTGGCCCATACTATAGGAGATTAGGAAAGAGCTTATTATCTTAGGGGAATGATATGTTGGGAAGTGAAGCAAGTGATGATCGTTTAGTGTAATGTTTGAGATAAGTGGAAGCTAAAGGACATACTCCTTAAATTGGAGATGCATTATTTACAGCCCCAAATTCAGTAATGATTGGAAATGTTATTTTAAAATAAAAGTAAGGTTGGGTAATTGATTTGATAGCTCATCAATTTGGTATGGGGCAACATTAAGAGCAGATAATAATTCAATAACAGTGGGAAAGAATGCATTAATATAGGATAATGTATACATAAAAGCAACCAAAACAATAACAGTTGGTAATAACTCTTTTGTTGGACCAAATTCTAACTTATAAGGATGTACAATAGGTGATGATGCATTTATTGGCATGGGATCAACGATTAAAGAAGGTGCAATAGTATAAGGAATTGTTGCAGCAGGTTCTCTTGTTCCAGAAGACACAGAAGTCAAATAAGGAGAAGTATGGGCAGGATCTCCAGCTAAATATTTAAGAGATATTACTCCTTAAGAATTATAGATTTTGAGAGAATATAAATAAGAATTACTAGAATTAGCCTAAGTACATGGGGAGGAGACATCAAAGAATTTCAGATAAGTATGATGACCCATCCTATCGAATTAGATTGTTATAGACACTGATGAAAGATTATTAAAATAATAAAGAGGAAATGAAGAAGAAGCATTGTAGAAAATAGCTGAATTGAATTTCCCATTAGAATATGAAGATGAAGAATTTATTGAATAAAGAGTATTTATGAAATAATAACCACCTATGTTTATGGATTCAGAAAATTTGTAAAGTCAATAGGATTAATATGAATAAGATTTAAGTTAATTTTCAGAGAGTAATTAAATCATTTTAATTCTTAGATATGTAAAAATATTCAGAAGATTATCAAATATATGAAGAAGCTAAGAAATACTTTGAATAGAATCCATAAGCAAAAGCTAATCAATTTGCACCAAAATCAGAAATACCAGATGATAAACCTTGGAGTAGAAAGTATTGATTTGATCATGATATGTAATACAGTATAAAATTTATCATATTACAAATTTTATTTCTTCTTATAAAGGCTTATAAACACGCGTTACTACTTTTTCTTATGTTATATTTCTTTTCAAAATATATTCTTTGAATTGATCAAAACATAGTTCTAGATTGTGATTCGTAAAGAAAGGATGTTAGAGCACTTATTCAACTGTTAACCGAACATTTGGATTTAAAACAAATATCTTATCAAGTAAATCAAGCAATTCATCATCAAATGCCATATTCATATTTCTAATTGAAGAAATAAACTTTCTATCACATCTTTAAGGATTTAATTTAACAAAGTACTCTGATTTCATAATCTCTGGCCAAGTTTCTGTTGTAGGTGTTCCACATTTTTCAAATATTTATTAAATCTATTAAGCCTCATCTTTAGCTTTAAATAATGGTCTATTGAAATTTAATTCAACAGCAAAGCATCCCATACTCCAAACATCTAATTAAAAGGAATATTATCCTCTTGTTAATAAGACTTCAGGTGCTCTATAACCTAATGTTACAACTGTGGGAGTTTTTTTAACTCCTTCTATTTTTGGACAAAACTTTGCTAAACCAAAATCTGCTATTTTAACTATTCCTTCTTCATTTACCAATATATTTGCACTTTTTATATCCCTATGTATAATCTTTTATGAATGAATGTATTATAGTCCCTTAAAGCATTAATACAGAATGCTACGAATTTGATTTGTTGTAAAATAAAACTTTTATTATTCATTTCTAACTAATAATTTCCAAAAATCATTTGCCATTAAATCCATAGCACAATATGTTTTTATTGTCTTTATATTCTTCTTATTTTTTTTAACTCTTGTATAAATCTATTTTATTTTTATTACATTCTCTTAATCTAATGAAGTAAGAAATTTAATTTCTCTCAAAGAAGTAATAGGAAACTTAAAATCATAATTAAATTTACTCCTTCCTTTTCATTTTATTTCTTAATGCATTTTACAGCATAATACTAATTATCAAATTTGTTTTTCATTTTGTACACCTTACTATTATATCAATTTAAATTATTACCCATAAGTCCCTTTACCCAAAATTTCCCTAGACATAGTTTCAAATTCGAATTCTGCACAAATATCTGCACACTTTAAGTCATCCACTCTTTCCAACTATTAATTTAGTTAAATTATCATTAATTTATTAAATGAATTAATAGTAAATTATCCTGTAAAATTTAAGTGAAATCATAAGAAATAATAAAATTGATTTAATTATCAAGTATATTGAAGTTATTGTATACTCTATAACTATTTGCTTTATTCAGAAAGATATTAAGTTACACACATTTTATTAGAGTTCATTAATAGTTTTTATTTAAGTAAATATACTTTTTTATTACCAAAGGGAATTGCTTTAACCCATTATTACTAACACATTATTTATTAATATAAAAAGTAGATCTAAAATGATGGATATAATTGGAGTGCACCATTTGATAATCCATAAACTTATCATTCTGATCAATTAAAAAATACCATAATCCTCTATCACTCCAATTTTATGATGGTTAAAATTGCAAATTTAGTGTATTCATCTTTATTTTTATTTAGTTTTGAAATTGTTCTCTTCATATCAACCCCTTATGAGATTTATAGATATTTAAAAACACCACTTAATTCCTATTCTAATTTAATACTTTTTGAAATTACCTTATACTTTGTTAGACGAGTATAATTGCTTGTAATTCCATTTCTAGGTTTATTTAAATTTGTTATTTTGATATTATTTCAGAGATTAAGAAGATAAAATTTACCAATATTCTAGAATCAAACCTAAACAATCGAAAATATAGCTATTTAGTTACATGAATAAGCCTGTTCAGAAATTGAATTAGATTGTATTATTTGTTTACAGAAAATTTCTGATAAATATGTGAAGCTTTAATGTGGTCATTATTTTCATAAAGAATGTATTGATAATTGGATAAAACAGAAGCAAATTTGTCCTTTATGTAGATCCTCTATTAATTGAATCTTATATTTTATATAACTTAATTAATGAAATCTTTTAATTTTAGAAAATAATTGAGATTATTTTATTATAGGAATATTATTAACATAAATTTTCATCAATAAGGCTGATTAATTTAGATCTATTGTGTTTTATTTGAAATCTATAATTTATTTATTTCTTATATAATTTTATTAGAAGATATTTTTTATTCTAATTCAATAATTTAGAAAAGAGATGAAATCGTAAATAGATTTTTATATGAATCTTTATTCTTAATTTTTTTCATCATCGTTATACAAAGTATCATTAAAAAAATAACTAAGTATATTTCTTGATTATATATATAAAATCTTTAAAGTTTCCTAAATTATATAATTATTGGAAAGCTTGATTGATTTAAATTAAAATTATCAAACATTATTAATTAATTTTAGATATGAGATTTAATATTTGTATTATATAACCATGTTACCATATCATTGTTAATTTGATTATTGTTTTAAATTTGATAATAATTGGTTTTCTTTAATATTAGATTTTTTTAATTAATAAATAAAATGGGTAACTACTTTAATCAACCAGCCAATCCTAATTAAGGATTATTACAATTTTTAAGATAGCTTCACTTGCCTGAAATACAAAAAGTTTCCAAATATGTACAATAAAACTATCCAGCAACGAATGTTTTATCTTTGGGTGAATTTTTTGATGTTTATCATGACATTCTTAAGTAACATTGTGGTGAAATGTTTGAGACCCTAGAAAATAATCATAGTACAGATGGTTTAACAGATATTTATGAGAGTCAAGCAGTTTTAGTAATTGATTCAATTAGAATTAGATCATTTTTTCTGATACCGATTTTGCCACCAAAGTTAAGTACATAAGCTAAGTATTTGATTTGGATAAATCTTAAAAGCTTGAAAAGATTGAACTTATTATGATTTTCTAAACAGCAATCAGAGCATTATGTAAAATTGTAAATATGAAACCACCTGGATTTACAGATATAGAATATTATGTTGAAGCCATTTTCATAGAAATAGACAAAAATCTAGATCGTACTATTTCATATGAAGAATTATATTCATGGTTGGATAACAATTACCAACTTTAGGATTTTTTATTAAAATATGCTTTAACTTAGACATTTTAAAATGCTAAAAGAAGAACTTAAGAGATTTTCAATTCAAAAGCTTTGTTCAAACCTAATTAAGAATAATGGATTTAAGAGTACATTAATTAAGCTGAAGAGAGCTATAGCTAACTTATTCAAAGAAAAAAACTAGTTTCTGATAGGGTCAAGGATGAAATCAATTATGCTTGGTCAGCATTCAAGGCAACTGATATCAATAATGATGGTACAATATCTGTAAGAGAATTACCTTATTTAATTTATGGATTTGAAGGAGTAATTATTAAAGAAGTCAGAAAAAGATTTGGGTAATTAGATAAAGATAAAAGTGGAAGCATTTCTTTAAAAGTAATTAAATAAATAATCATATTAGGAATGGTTTAATTTCTTATAATTAGATTAAGGAGTAGAAATGTGTAAATCTATTGTTAAGAGATATTTTCTTAAAAGGGATACAAATAATGTAGGTAGTCTTAACAACTAGTAATCCTGTTAAGTATTAAGAGATACTCTTTCAAATGATGGATTTGAATTATACTTTAAAGGTTTTGAAAGTTATATTAATGAGCATTCAACTTTGGATAAAGTATTCATTTATCTATATTTAATAGATGTCAATTTAACAATTATAAGATTTTGTAGAAGGTCCTATGAAGAGAATTATATAGGATAAGTAAGAATTAATGGAAAAAGAAAAAGAAAGAAAATAAGCATAAAATGAAAAAATAATATGAAAAAATTTTTAATAATCATATATTCTATTAATATCATTAAGTATCTTGATTATAGAATATTATTAAAAGTTTAATCAAATTGCATAAAGTTAAATTAAAAAAATTTCATTTTTATTTTCATTTAAATCCTTTTTATAGATATTTATCAATTATAGAATTAAACGATAGTAATGAACCTTAATTATTATAATTATAAACAATCTATAGATGTGATTAAATTTCATCTTAAAAATAAAAAATAATATTATAATTTAATATATTACTATATATTTTTAGTCAGCTTATTAAATTTTAATAGCGGAAGTAAATATTTCTTAAGAATATTTAAATTTAAAGATAATAGTAATATTATCTATATCAATAATCTTAAATAAAAGCAATTATCTTTCTATTTGTCTGTATTATAATAAATTTAATAATTATTAATCACATAACAGGTTCTTCTTTAAGAATAGGCTATTTTTAAGGTTCTTATTTAATTTCTGGTTATTGTAAACCCAATACAAGATTTCTTAATTCTTCTTCTTTTGATTTTATTCTATTCTTTTCATTCATTATGCAAGTGGTCATTGTTTTATATTGATCTCTACATCCCTATAAACTATTTGATTGCATTTTACTGTTACTCTATTTTAGATCTGCTATTTTCCACAGCCAATTTTTAAAGACTCATACAATACTACAATTCACATGCTGATTATCTGCAAATTAGTTCTGCAACTGTATCCATAGTGATATTTGGAGAACTCTTAATTTATTTTATGTAAGGATTCTCAGTTCTACAATATGAATATAATTCAAGATGATGCTTTGGCTTTTCTCTTCTTTTTAAATCTTACTTAACTCTAACCCATAATTCATTTGTATTAAGAGGATCCTTATCATGAGTTTCTTTATATCTTTACCAATATTTTTCAGTCATTTAATATTAAAATTTAATAATGTTCTAAAATTCATTAATAAATAATCATTTTCTCTATTTTTCTAGATTTTTATTTTCTGCTTAAATATCAGTTAAATCTTATCTGAGTTTTTCAACATTCTTTTTGTATCCCTTAAGTAAAATATCTTCCATTTTTAATTCTGTATCATATATTTAAATTCTCTTTTCTCCAATATTACGCATTAATTCAGCACATTACTTATAAACAATTTTATAATCTTAATATTATTTTTAAATCTATTTAACAACTGTTTCAGATTTCTTAGGATCTTAATTAATAAGATTTTCAATTTCTATACAATATCTATTAATCATATTATCTTAAAATTATAATGAATCTTCTAATTATGATAATTCTTTAGCTTATTTTAAATATTCTGTTTTCTATTTTTCTAATTGATTTTTTAAATCCACAATCTTTTTAATATATTAATTTCTTGCAATTTCTTTAGGCTAATTTTGAAGATCAACTAATAATTTTTCTTTATATTCTAAATTAACTCTTCCCTAATTTCTGATCATTTAATTTTCTTCTTACAATCTTCTCATTTTATCTTAGATTTATTCAAGTTTTAATTTACGATCTTAAACTTATTAAGCCAATTCATCAGCATCATTTTATTATAAAATCTTTTCTTTTTCCCATTCAATCCTAATATTTTCAATTTCTTATTCAAGTTATTGTATTTCTGGATCATTACCTTTTTTTGATTCAATTTATTATAAAATAGAATGAGCACTTTCTAATTCTTATTATTTATCCTTATTATCAGATTACAATTATGAATAAATATCTTATTATTTTTAATTTACATCTTCCAATTTTTATCTCTTTTTTTATAATTTATCATAATTTTTTTATTGCTCTATCAATTTAATCTAGATATCTTCAAGTAATGCACTGATCTCTGATTTTGCTTCTTAAGTATCTTATATTTCTTATTAGATTTCTTTTACCTCTTCTTAGAATTGTATTTCTAAATTAAATAAACCTTAATTTTCATCTTCTTTTTATTTTCTTGCTTATTCTTCTTCCTTATCTTCTTCTTTTAATTATTTTATAGCTCTCTTCAATTAACGATTCCCTTTCTAAATATCTTCCCAATCATTCTTTTCAGCTTCAGCTTAGAACTATCCCTTAAATTAACCTAAAACAGCTTCAGGATCATCAGATCTCCTCATTTTCTTTATTAATTATAATCTCTCTTACAATGGTTAATCCACTTCTTTCTTTTATAAATGATGATCCATAACTCTAACAATTGAGTGATATAAATATTTTCTTACTCCTTTATTGGCTACTTATTTAATTAATGGCTCTTTCTTTATAATATTAAGCACATGCAATCTAAGAAATCTTTGCTCAACTTCTGGAAAAGCACATAATGATGGATTAACCCATTCTTGAAAGAAATTCTATATTTAATTTGTCCTATATGTAGCTTTCTCTTCTTATAATCTCTCTTCAAATGTAAGATGTTTAGCTCCAGTTTCTTTTTTATTTGATTAACTCAATTTTGAAAGCAAACTTACTATAATCTTTCTTGACTCTTATGGGTTAGGATTCACAATTGATTGAATATCAATTCTAATACCAATTGGATAAAGCATCTCTTGAATTTTACCTACTCTTCTAAATGAACTCTTGATTGATTTAATTGAGCTAATTTCAAAAGCTTAAGTTCCACTCAATTGAAAAAATTATAAGAAAATAGATATCAAATCTTCACATGTTAACTATCAATAAAAGTATGTATTACTTAAGGAAGAGATTGTGTTTATATCTATATTCCTTATAATTATAAGCTCTTTAATAACATTTGATCCTAATCCTCCATTTTTGTATATATTACTCTATAAAAAAAAGAAATAAATAATCTTTTTGATAATATGATAATTTATTTCATTTATAATGATGAGGTGTTATCATGAAATTAACTATCCCTTATTCTTAATTTTTTCTATACTTTCTAAATGCACTTGGACTATAACCACCTATACCAAATTTACTTGATGGTGATTTATAGTCCTTAGGAATTTCGAAAGCATCACCAATGTTAATTTCTAAATCAGAATCTTGTTGGTGATTAATAATATATTTATCAGCATTTGCATCTAAAATCATATATTAAGTAATTACTAATCTTTTATTATAATTATTAAGCTAAATTATCAAGTGTCTTATCCTTATACTAAGTATATTATTTAGTTATCACAATAGGAACAAAATTAGATTTACTAATAGCAGCCTCCTCATTATGAATACCATCCTCTTAATATTAATTAGTATGTTTTTAAAAGAATATTTATCTAGGAGTTAATACATGAAAAGCTGGAGTAAATTAATGATTATTGGGACTATTAGTTCCTTGGAATTCATAAGCATATTACTATTAGTAATTTGAAGATTATTCCTAATTTCATATAATATAATAATATTACTTCTTTATCCTCTTGTTGTACTTCTAACTCATCTCTTAATATTGTATACAATGGTCCTTTTTTAGTTCTTAGACATATATCAATATAATCTTCTTTATCAATATGCTAATAGATTATATATTATTTCTAGTACTTTTCTTTTAGCATTCAATCTTGAAGATCTCTTTAAAGGAAACTTATGGCTTATCTCTTCATATTTATAATCACTTGTATAATCATCGTCATCATCGTCATCATCGATTCTACTCTTTCTTTTTTTATGATTCTTCTTTTTTAATTTTAATCTACTTTCTCTTTATTTTGTATAAAGAGCACTATTATTTAAAAAATAATATACTTAAAGTCCATAATTTTATCAATCAATTATTTGAACTTATCTTCATTAAATTAATTGATTTAAGATTTTTGTTTAGATTAAGCAAATTCTAATATAGAGTCTTGTAATCCTTTACAAGCTTAACAAAGCTTTTTCATGTGATCATCTTTTAATTCTGATGGACTCTTCTCTGCCAGAATGAAAATTTTGGATAATACTCCAGGTTTTATATCTTTAATCTATTGTGTACCCTTTTCTTTACTATATATAGACTTATATGATTTACTGTTCTTGTCTCCAATTAGTTTATTGATTCTTCTTAAACTTCTTCTTAAGGTTGAATAAAAATGATTTTTAATTGCATTATCAGTTCTTCCTGGTAACAGTTTCGCAATTTCAGCCTACAAATAGTTTATGTATTTTACCCATTTGTTACCATGTTCCTTATGGGCTATGAATATGACTCTCTCTTCATTTTCACTCCATGGCTCTTTGTTAATAGTAGGATCAAGATGATTATGGTAGCGTTCTCTACATTATTTTCCTGATCGGCCAAATAAACTATAGAGTTCTTTCATCTTTTCAGCTACTATTGTCCATTTCTTGATTCCATACTATTTTACTAATTATAATATAGCAGAATCTTCCTAAAGATTTAATTATGTTAGCTGTTACTTTTTAATTCCAAGCTTTTCGATCAGTCATTTATAAATTATTAATTAATAAAATATATGACTAATAACATTATAATTATAAAAGAACTCAGAAGAAACGGTATTTATTTTGTTATTGAAAAAGGAAATATAAAATTTTTAAACTTATTTTTTCTAATGACTAATCTTATAGTTAATTTTGACAATTAGATTTAGTTTAATTTTAATCTAAATATATTTAATCAATGCTTTAATGTCAACAACAATAACAACCCTAAAATAATTTATTATTAGATGATTGTTTTTTCTTTATACTCTATTAATCAGGTGGAATGAGTAAAATTGATTTATCCATTTATGAAGATTTCAATTTTAATTTTGCTCCTTATTCAATAGCATATTAGAATGTTTCTTCAATTCCTTCACGAGTCTTAGAAGAAGTTAGAAATAATTTTAACTACTTTTATGAATTTAAGGTTTAGATAAATTTTTATAGATCTTCTTTATTATAAAAGGTTGGTAAGTCCATCTTGGTTCCTACTATTATAATTTCCATTTCAGAACTACAATTAACATGAAGAAAGTCAAGCCAACCTTAAATATGTCTGTATGAATCAGGATCACTCAAATCAAAACAAAGAATTGCAACATTAGTATTCTATGATTTCTTTTCATTTTTATACTTATAAAGACATTCTAGTTATTGATCTAAATCTCTCTTAACCAGCTGTATCCCATATTGAAATATCAAAAAGTTTACCATTTACTTCTACATTTTTAACTCCAGAAAAGTCAACTGCAACTGTTGGTGCATTATGAGCTCGGAACTCTTGTTATCTATGAGATTGTAATAGACTTGTTTTTCCTGCTCCTTATTAACCCACTAGAACGAGTTTAAGTGTTTCGTTCATTATTAATTATTATATAAATATATTCAACAACAACTTTGTTGAGTAGTTTTAGTCTGATTATAATTGATATACCTTTTTATGAGAGTAGTTGTATTTGAAATTATTGCTTCTATTTTATGATTTGATAACTGTTAACTCTTTAATAAGTAGGAGGTACTTATATTAAAACTCGTAAAGTATTATTATTATTATTCTACATTAAAATCATAGTTTGAGGAAGTTAAAATAATTGGAAATTCATCTTAAAAATTTACTTTCCAGAAATTAGATGTTTATTTAAATTATTCTTATGTATATTGAACTTTGGAGATCTTTTTTAGTATCCACGATTATAATTTTTAGATATTAATGTCCTTCGGATTTTAAGAATTAAATCCAAGATGCTACATTATCTAATGACAAAGGTTCACTTAAATCAAAGCATATCAAAGAAGTATGAGAGTTCAATTAATGGTTTAGCCTTTAAATACTTGAGATAAAATTTGCACAATAGATTAAAATCTTTGTTAATCAACAGTGTTCGAAATAGCAACATCACATAAATTATTATCAATTTTAACATGCTTATCAATTGACATATCCACTCACATAATACCAATAATTTATGTATTGAATTTGTTAGTTTGTTATTTTACAATCAAACTAATTTTGCCGACATTAGAATTATCAACCATAATTATTTATAGATCTCTATTTTCGTTCATGTTGGCTTTATGAAATTTATTTTTATTATATTAGCAAATGATTGAGATATATTATTATTTTAGATTTTAAATTATTAATTATATGATTACTAAGAGAATATATCATGTTACAACTAAATAATTCATTTATTGTTCGAAATCATTTATTTAATTAAGGAAAAGATACTAATTTTAATTATTTAACCAATTAATAAAAAATGTATAGAGCATTATTTTAATTATAATTTTTGAAAAATGGACATTGATAGACATATTGCAACACTTTTGAATGGTGGATGTTTACCAGAAAGAGATCTCAAATTAATTTGTGACAGAGCAAAAGAAATCTTTCTTGAAGAATCAAATATATAACCAGTTCGAGCTCCAGTGAATGTTTGTGGTGATATTCATGGTAAGGATTGTTTAACTATTTAGGACAATTCTATGATTTATAAGCTTTAATGAAAGAAGGAGGAGACATTCCTTCATCAAACTATATATTTATTGGAGATTTTGTTGATAGAGGGTATAATTCAGTTGAAACTATGGAATATCTATTATGTTTAAAAGGTAATCATTTTGATTATTCTCAGTAAAATACCCAGGAAATATTATGTTACTTAGAGGAAATCATGAATCACGTTAATGCACATAAGTTTATGGTTTTTATGAAGAGTTACTTCGTAAATATGGTAACAGCAGTCCATGGAGATTATTTATGGATGTTTTTGACTGTTTACCTTTAGGAGCATTAATCGAAGGTTAAATATTATGTGTTCATGGTGGTTTATCACCAGATATGAGAACAATAGATTAGATACGAACAATAGATAGAAAGGTATATTTAAATAATTATAATTTCTCCCATTTTAGATTGAAATTCCTCATGAAGGACCTTTTTGTGATCTGATGTGGTCTGATCCTGAAGAAGTTGAATATTGGGCTGTTAATTCAAGAGGAGCTGGTTTTCTCTTTGGAGCAAAAGTTACAAAAGAATTTTGCCGACTAAATGATCTTACTTTGATATGTAGAGCACATTAATTAGTTATGGAAGGATACAAGTATTGGTTCCCTGTATGATATATTTAATATATCTAGGACTAAAATTTAGTAACAGTGTGGTCAGCACCAAACTATTGTTATAGATGTGGCAACATAGCTTCAATTTTATGTTTGGATGAAAATTTGAATTAAAATTGGAAGACTTTCAAGGAAGTACCTGAAAGTGCTAAGAGTATTAATCCAAAAAGTGTTTTACCATACTTCTTATGAAGTATGTAGATAGAATATATTTTGATACTTCTTATGAAGTATAATATAATATTAATAGAATATCAATTCTTTATATTTTAATATGATCTTCTTGAACCTATGTTGCTTCTGTCTACATTTTCATTGTCATAAATTCTTTTAGTAGATGGACTTTTGTTTTTCAAAGTATTAAGGTTTTGCTTTTCAATAGATTTTCTGATAGGAGCAGGACTTAAGTTTTTAACTGAAGAACTTGGTCTATTTAAACTAGATTAACGAATAGGTGGATTAATATGTAACTAATTATTTCTTAATCCAGGAGGTATGAGCTTATATTATTGAGTAAATAAAATACAGGTTTAGAAACATCCTTCTTAGGAATTTAAGGAGTTTAAATTGGAGATCCTTTCCTTTCATTTACAGATGCCGATCTTGTAGATTTTGGAGGATGTTTAATTGATTCATATTCATTTTTATTTGTTTCATATGTTGGTTTAGGGAGTTTAGCTTATAATTATTTAAGATTTTTTGGTAATAAAATGGTTTGAAGTAATTCTCCTTGAGTATTTCCTGATTATATTTAACTATATTATTCGACAAATGGTTTAACATTTGGATCAGAGAGAATCTAATCACAAGTAGGACGTAAATGAGCAGGTACTTTGAGTAATTAACTAATCATTGCACTTAGTGAATTGGAATATGATTTTGGTATTTTTTCATAAACACCTGATGATACCTTTTTAAATAAGGTTTAAACATCTTATGCTCTAAAAGGAGGTTTTAAAGTAGCCATTTCATAAATAACACATCCTAAAGACCATATATCAGAAGGTGAAGAATAAGGTTAATCTCTCCATACTTCTGGACTTGCATAATCTAATTAATTTAATAATTTTACAAGGTGTTCCTGTTTAGGTTTTCGCTAATGCTCCATGTGAAACTTTACTTACATTTAAATCACCAATCTTATATTAACCATCTATAGATTTAAAGACGTTAGCACTCTTTAAATCACGATGCAAAATACCAGACTTGTGTAATACTCTTAAACCTAATGTCATGTGTGCCAATGCTTTCCAAATTTCTTTCTCTTCTATTTAATTCTATTTCTTAATGTAGGATGCAATTTATTTAGATATATCTCCTCCTGCTGCAAATTCCATTATGACACACAATTAATTTGATAATTCATCAAAGAATGCTTCTTTATATCCAATTATATGTGCATCATTTATTGAAGCCAAAATTCTTATTTCATTCAAAGCATTCTCTCTTTCTTTTTACTTTAAATTGTTAATTCTCACTTTCTTCATAGCATATTCTTATTAATCACTCACTCGTTTAACCTAATTAATATTGTTTTATCTTACTCTAAATACTTATCCAAAAGAACCTTCTCCTAATTTCTAAAGAATAGTGAAATCTGCCAGGGTTGTAGATTTTTACATTTTTAATTTGAATTTCCTAACCTGTTAAATTATTAATAAAATAAAAACAATTCAATATTGATTCTAATAAATTATTTAGATTCATTATGTGTATCTAAATGAGTTTAATATTATCCTATAATTTTTAATTATATATGTTCGAGTAAGTCAATTGTAAATCTAAATGTTTATTAGAAAAATATCATAAATTATAAATTACCCTTAAAATGTCTTTTTAATTAATCTTAAAGATCAAATTTTTTTTGAACTCGCATTTATATAAAGTATCTATTAAGATCAGAATAAAAGGTAAGAATTTATAAGCTTTTTCAAATTTTTCAATTGATTAGATTCTATATCAAAATATACAGATTAATAATTTATATTTGGGAAGAATTACTTTTTCAAAAATAAAATCATGTTTCTTATGAATATATATTGATTTTCATTAGTCAATGAATGCTTCGCCATTTCCAAATGATTATTTGATTGCTCCTTCGACAAATAGGAATTCAATTGGTCTACTTCTCATACATTTATTGGAAACTGTATATGCAGTTGTTCCATTTTCTTAAATAAGACTCAATGATCCTCCTTCTGGTACATGAATAGATAAAACTTCAAATGGTAATCCAAAAAATGTAACATTATCTCCTGGACATGATTTAGCATGTTCTCCCTTAAAATTGCATTCACTAAAAACATAAATACAACCCTCCTTAAAAGATGTAATTTTTTCGTTGCTATAAACTTTTTTTTATGGTTTAGGTTCTTCAAATGAATAATTTGGTTTTTCTGTTGCTCTTACTGCATTAGGATTTGGTTGATCAATAATAAACATAGATTCAACGAATTTTATGGTATGATCAGTCTCTTCAGTAGGTGTTAATAACAATGCTTCTTCGTAATTCAAAAGTGATGATAATTATTCTTTGATTGATTCATCTGTGCTTCTTCCTAAAAAGGTAGGTAATCCTTTTTTTTTAATTGTATATATTTCAGTTGATAAATCCTTCTATTATTTAACGTGCTTTTATTTTTCAAGAAAACTCTCTTGAGCTGTTATGATCACCAATAAGAGTGCTAAAATATATAATTTTTACATATTAATAAAAACGGATTTATAATATATGAATTTTGAGTGATGAATTTGTTAAAGATCAATGAATTTCATATATTATAGGTTCCTCTTAAAGAACCTATCATTCCACTTATTCATATTTTTAATAAGAGAGATCTTGAACTTAAGATTTCAAAGCATCTCAATTATTCTAATGATTTAAACATATGATAAATGATATATTAAAGAATGTTTATTATAAAATATGATCTTCAAAATTAAACTGATTTGAGGGTTGAATACATATAAATTTGATATGAAATGTAAAAAATACATGATTATAATTTTTATAACAAAATAAGTAATAATGATTTTTTATTTTTGACTTTAATTGTTATATAAGATAGATATTAAAGGTATTTTTTATATAAAAAAAGTAAAAATATTATTAATTCATTATAATATAAATAATATTAGATAAGTTTAATTTGTTTATTGATATATTGATTTAATAGCTTATCATTTAGCATTATATACAATAAAAGAATCTAGTTTACTTATATATTAGTGGATTATAAAATAATATAAATAATTATTAAATAATTGTTACGTTAAAAAAATGAAAACAAATAGAGAAATTCTAGACTGGTTGAATAAATGCAAATGTGGAAAATTGGAACTAAAGAAACATTTAAATACTATAGAATAAATAAAAGTATACTACATTTAAAATTTGATTAAAAGTTAGACATGATGATGAGTAATCAAAAAGTATAAACTTTGAAATCTGTTTCATCTTCTAAGATGAATCCAGATTGTCAGACTGCTGAATCAGTATATGAAGATAAAAGATAACATAGTCTAATATAATATGGCAATTAATCTGATGATTAAGATTACAGATATTTTATTAGTAAAAATAATTATTACGATACTCATCAAATTTAGAATTAGCGATCCATAAAAAAACCTATATTATAAGAATTTTCTGGTAAATAAGATTCTGATACTATTGATGATATATTTAAATTGTCATTAACAGATTAATCAATTTCTTAATAGTAGTTTAGTTCAAATTAAGATTTTTATGAATCTATAAAATAAAAGTAATAATAAGGAATTAATAATAATAATGATTAAGTCTATTATAATACCTAATAGAGTATTAAGAATTTTGAAATGTATTAAGAAAATTGTTTAAAAACTTCACTATGTCAATTAGATAAAAGAATATAATAAATTTAACAATAAGAAATTGATAAATGTTATCAAAATGAAAACAAGACATTTGATTAATATTACTAAGAATATGTAACAGATGAAATATCTAATATATAACATGAAATTTAAGAAATGCAAAAGTATAAATTTTAAGAAAATATGTTTAAAGATTTTTGAAAAGAATTTAAACAGCAAAAGACAAATTGACCAGCAGTGTCTAAGATTTGAGTTATCAAAATAGTTAAAGATCCATGTAAAAATTGAATCAAGATTTGGATATCATATAAACTTTAAGAAATAATATGCAAAATTAATTATAAAACAATGTAGATGGTGATAAATTGTTAAGATTGAGATTGATGAAATAATAGATATAGGAATGCTTTAATGATATAGAAGAAGAGATATTTAAGTTAAGTAAATGATATCCGTTTTATCTTTATTATTTATATTATTTAAATTTTTAATGAAAATAGTTCTGATAACTCTACTCATTGGCTTAACATTTTCTTAAAATTAGGCATTAAATGAAATTTCAGAGAATCCAATTCCTACATTAGTTTATGAAATGAAAAATGAAGAATCGCAATCAATTTAATAACATTAATAATTATAAGGATATATTGATATTGATGGTCATTTTGTATCAAACTAAGCTGATAATACATAAAATATAGAATCTGAATCTGTTGTCTAAACTAATTAAGATCAAAGTTAAAATACCTAAATGAATATAGTTGATAATTCTAACAATTTGTAAGCTACAACTTAAGAAGGATCATAATAATTAGTTTCAACTGATGCAGAAATTGATCCTGTTTTTGATATGGAAAATTCAATGCCTTATGAATTCCCAGAAGATACATAAGTTTAAGAAGAATCAAAAGATTAAGATAATGATAATCATTATTTGTCAGCTAGTTTAGAATTGTAATTATTTCATATTTAAATTCAAGACCAATTCGAAATGACAACTAAGTTTATGATTCATTAGGAAATTAAATAGATTCTTATGATGGTATGAAAACATATTTGTAAATAATTTTATAAATTTAGAGCTCTAGATATAGCAGAATAAGATGATAATTAAGCTAACATTAGTGTCTAAGAAAAATAAGAAGATTGTATTGTGATTTATTCAAAATGCGATTTCTAAGGAGAAAGCTTACCAATATGTGAGTCTTTGAAGGAAGTTGAGTAAAATTAAGCGAAATTTTAGGGATTTCTAATATGATATAAAGTCCATCTATTTACCTGAAGGATACTAAATGACAATATATTCAGAAGAGAACTATCAAGGATAATAAGTTACATACTAAGAGAGTCAAAAGTGTTTAACATAAGCAATATCACTTGCCTAATTAAGAGGAAGATAAACCTAATAAATTTAGAATTAAGATCCAAATCAAAGTATTTTAACATCAAATCTAAGAATTAGATAATGATGATTAATTATAAAAATAAAATATTTATTAATTATTCACATATCTTAATTTATAATATAAATATATCAATTATTAAAATAAATATATCTTGCAATCTTATTTTTATATAATACTATTGATATAAATATAATTCTATTGATGCAAAATTTATATATAATAGAAAATGTTGATATTTTAAAATATTAAACAAACAATAGAATTATTATAAAAATAATCATTTTTGAATATTCTAAAAGTCTTATTAGGTTCGTTGATGTTTTTTATTTTATACAATTGGTCTGTCTATTAAATATGATTCAAGTGGCCTTTCCTAATCTGATTTTTAAGATATTTTAATTGGAGGAGGAGCTCCAAATCCAAAGATTTACATTCCTTTTGCTCTCTCTTTTACTGACTTTAAATAAAATAAACTCTTACTTAAACAGATTAATTAGTATTTTAGTTGGCCTATGGAATTAATAAATTACCTTAAGGTTTTATAGTTTATTCATTTTTAATTTAAGGATTTATTGTTTATGGTTTAATATTCTATTCAATTTAAGTTTAAGGTTAGTTTTATGATTAATTTATGGTTTATTATTAATCTTATTAATCCTTAATTAATTAAACTTAAGGTTTAATTTAAAATGGCTGAGTAATATTAGATTTTTATTCCAATTTCTGAGGAGAATTTTTATTTTATTAAATAAAAGGATTTGATTATATTATATTTGGCTTTTATTCTTATGGTTCATTTTGTTTGATTTCGTTTTGATTCTATATTTATTCAACTTTCTAAGGAGAATTTGAATCTTATTAAACAGAAGGATTTAATGGTTATCCCTATGAATTCTATTCCTTTATTTATTGATTGGCTTTATTTACTTATTCTTAAACTTGTGGATTAGCTTTTTCTGAATTATATATCTATAAATTTTATCTCTCAAATTTTAGTTAATTATTAGTTATTAAATCTGATTCATCTTTTTCATCTTACTTTGAATTTAAACTTGTTGTTTTCTTGAAATCATTTTATTCATTAGATTTTATTGTTGAAATATCTTTTTATTAATTTAATGATCCATACATACCCACTTAACTTTAAGGATTTTGAACAACATTCTCTACCAAATTAACAAGTTTGCCTTATTGCTTAGAATTTGTTGTGCCTATATTAGGTTATGGATTTGGCTTAACATTATTATCTAAATTAAAATAAGAAAATCACTTTGAATGTGTTATTTTCTAGTAAATTAGCAATTTTTGCATTTTATTTAGAATCCAAAACTAGTATCGGTGGGATCTGCAATAAAGTTATTACAAGCTTATTACATTAATTTTAATGAATAAATAATTAGATTTTAATCTAAAATTTTTAGAGCATAACCCTTCTAAATTTGAACAATATAATGAGACTAAAAATGGATTTTACTTGGACAATCCAAACTAAATTTATCTTTTAGATGAAAATGAGGGATGGGCAGATTATAATGGATGTTATTATGATAATAATGGATCTCCTGCTGGATGGGTATTTGTAAAGGATGGTTTATATACAAGATATAATATGAATAAAGAAGAAGTAAATAAAGAAAAAAATATCTATTATCCTGAAACTATCTCTGAGGAAGAAATGTAAAAAGGATAATTTTAAGCCTAAAAATCATACTAAAAAAGTTCTTATTAAGAGAATGAAAATCTTGAGTAAAATTTGAATTCTGATGATTAATCTTAATCTTAAAAATAAACTTTAGGAAGTTTAAAAGAACATCAATAAAATTTTTAAAAGTATGTTAAAGATAATAATATGTAATTACATCAAATATAATTTTAACAAAGAAATAACTAAAAAGGATAGTTATTGGAATAATAATCATAAATATAAAGTCATGATTATCATAGAGATTAAATTTATAATTAAAATTAAAACAGGAATATACCAAGAAATAAATTTAATACTTATTAGAAAGAGTAAAATAATGGTTAAAATGAAAGATTAAATAGATCAATTAGAGAAGATAGATAAAATAATTATAATAATTAGAATAATAGAAATAGTCTTGCATACTAATCTGAATCTAATTAAAATAGAAATTAGTAAATAAATAATAGAAGTCTTAATAATAACAGAAACTATAACAAAATGAATTAGGATGATCCAAGAAACTTTGAATCATATAATAACTACAGATAAAATGATAAAGCATAAAATCCTTTCAAAGAGTAAACATTCTAATAATAATAAAATTATCAAAATAGAATAAGAAACTAATATAATAATTAGGATGAACATCATTAAATTGAAAATAAAAAAGAATAATCTACAGATTATAAATAATAATCTAGCCAGACTTATTAGAAAAATTAATATAATAATTACAATAGACATACAAATTATCCTAATTATCAAAATAATAATCATAAATTTAATAATGATAGATAAAAGTATAATAAAAATAATAACTATAAATAAAATGGTAATTTTGGATCAGTGAGAGAAAGAGAATATTAAAAGGAAGATTCTCTTGATTAAAAATAATAATATTAATATGTTTTATGTAAGGATAATTCATCAAATTAATATCAATCTAATAAATCATTTAAGGAATCGAAACAATAACTTGAATAGAATAATAATTTGATTCCAGATAAATAAGGAGTCCCTGAGAAAAGAGAAAGAAAATCAAGATTGCATGATCCAATAGAAAATTCATAATAAAAAGAGTAATGATATTGAATAATAATAGTTATTATTTTAAAAAAATATTTATATTATTAAATAGCTTATATTTAAGGTAGATTAGAGATTATATTATAATAAATAACAATATATTTCTAAATAATTGTAATTTTTCATTGATTTTAAACAATCTTATATATTATTAAAATTATGCCCATAAATTTTGAAGCTCTTTCAAATGAATTTTATTACATTAATTTTTCATGATTATCTGTTAAAATCTTTAATGTTTTGATTCTTACATTCATTAAATCTACATTTTTATTTAAAGTTTATCCAAGCTATTCCTCAATCCTATTAATTTCATCAGAAATAAAGGTTAAATTATAAAAGTTGATATCATTAATTGATAATTACAATTTTTCATAATATAATTTCAACTATTATGAAACTAATAATTAAGCTTCCTCTTTATATCTTTCCTATTATTCCTTAAAATTTTAAATTTTCAATTCTAATTATGGTTGATTTTGAAGATCATTTATTTATTTTTCTTATTAAATTTGAAAATTTTGCAATTAGACTTATTAAACTGGTGGTTATGTAGATATCTCTTTTTGTTATTAAACTTAAGATTTTGGTTCTATTGTTTTTGATTAATCTTATTTTTCTTCTCTATTACATTAGACACACAATTTAACACCTTATTTACTTTTCATTATTGGTTATAAACATTCTATACAAGACTCATTCAACATAGTCCATCCCTATAAAAGTAATTAACCTATTTTTTTTGATGCTTCATCAGCTGCTGCCTTGTTTATAAATAATCTTGAATTAATATCTTCTACCTAATCATCAAAATAGAAATCATCTGAATCATAATCTCTACTATTCTTTTTTTGAATAATCTCTGGTTTTGATTCAGATCCACTTTAATTAGTTTTATTTTGAATATCTTAATGATCTTAATCTAGAATCACTTAATCTTGAGTTATGATATCACACTTAGGACAATATAAATTTCTGTTTTCAAGAAATATGAGTAATGTTCCTTTACATTCACAAACCATAGTAGTCAATTTCCAACCTTCATCTAGTTTTCGATTCATTCTTTAAAATTAACTCATTATTTATAAGTAAATTTATTTAATAAAAGAATAAATTAATATTTATGATCAAATATCAATAATCAATAAATACTACTATAATCAATATCTTAACTTTTATGGCGTTAATTTAGAAATGACAGCCTTATTCTACCTTATTACTTTATCCATTTCATTTTTCCAATACTAAAGAATCATTAATTAATTAAATAATTACCTTTATTTCTTATTGTAAATCAGTTATTTGTTTACTAAATTATTCTTTTAAGGTTTTTTCTTTTTCATTTTTTTTAACCAATTATTATTCATATTGTCCAATTTTCATATATAAGTTGGAATTCTCACTTTATAACATTTTCAATTATTCATTATTTTTATTGGCTTAATTAAGTTTTAATTCCATATCATTCAATTATTATTAAAAATTCTAGCAAACAATATTTCAATCAATTTTACTCTATCTCTAGGAGTTTAAATATTCTTTGATGTTTTCTTTAACAATTCAATTTCTTCTTAGTAATTCTATTCTTTAACTGCAAAGTCTTTAAATTTCTTTGAATAATCAGACAATGTAATATTAGATTATTACATCAATCCTTCATACTTCTAAATAACTTCTTATTCTTTTGTTTTATAATAATCTATTAAATTAACGGTTGAATACCTTCATAATATTTTCTCAACTTTTCTCTCTCTATATTATTTTCTTATTAATAATAATACAATTTATTGAGTGCTTCCCTTGCAATATCTCCTTGTCTTTTCAATTCCTCTAATAAATTTTTTTCATTCTATTTCAGATCCTTTATTTTACTTTGTTGATTTGATATTATCTTTTCAAGATCCTCTCTAATTTTAGTAAATTATTACTTGTTTTTAATCAAAGTTTCAAAACTCTATCTTAAATTTAAGACTTATTCTTGATCCACTGTTGATTTAGATTTTACTTTTTTTTTTGAAGTTTTATCACTATTTTTCTTGTCATCTTTAGGTTTCTTCTTTGAATCATTAGGATTAGTATGTTATCTTGTAGCCATATATGTCTAATAAATATATAATTAAATAATAAAATGTATATATATATTTCTCTCTTAATTTTTTTTTATCAATAAAAGATATTAAAATGAATTATTATCAAGAAGATTATGTAATTATTGAAGATTTTTGTTTGAGAAATAGACTAATTTGATTTTTATAAAATAGTTGTTTTAGAAATCAAAATAAATAAATATTTCCATATCACAATTTAATTACATTTGAATTGAGTATTTTTATACTATTTAGAAGAATAAAGATTATTTAAGTAATAATTAAAGCTGAATTAATATTATATTTCAATATAATTATATTAATAAGATTAGTTGATTGATTTATAATAATGAATTAATAAGAAGGATAAAGAGGTAATTAGTAGATGAATTAATTAAATATTAAATTGAACTTATAAAGAAGTGTTAGTCCAATTTGTAAATTGATAATTTTGAACAACATTGATTCAAATGAAAACGTATCAAAATCAATGAGAGCTAAAGATGACACATCAATATTGGATGTTTTACTGTATTTAGAATAATAATATAAAAATCAATGCAAAATCACATTATATCATAATAACAATCCAATTACTGTAAGTAAAAATACATACTTATTACCATTCTTATAAAAGCTTAAGGTTTAATAATTAAGTTATAAAGTAATTTAAAATAACATGTATTCAAGTAATATTGAAGATGATAATGAAAGCCCTGGATTAGATAAAAAGTTAAGAGAAAGAGATTCATCAACTTGGTTAATAAATATGAAAAGCAAATTTTAATCAGATTATCAACAGGAAGATATAAAGGCATTAAATAAGACATACTATTAATAAAGTGGTTCTATTAAAAATGATCTATATAAGTAATAAGCCTATGGTAAAATCTCTCAAAATACTAGTTCAACAGATATGTAAATAGATAAGCTAGAATAATAGAAAATTAAAAAAAGTCTTAATTATTATAACCCTAGTTTAAATTAATCTGAATTAACAATAAAATCAATTCTATGTAAATGTTAGCATAGTTACAATAGTTAAGAGCTGAAAATTATTCTTTAAAATGCCATATTTTAAAATTAAATAGCTACTTGTCAGGAATGTAATTAAAAAATACCTAGATCTATGTACTCATAGATAAAAACACTGGAAAAATAATATCATACTAATTTATTATTATTAGAGCTTAAAATTCTAAAAAATTCATTAATTCACAATTATGATATTTAGAAATGCTAATATTGCAATTTTTTTTGTATTTGGAATAAATATAAAATAATTAATAGAGGGTTTTGTCCAAATTGCTTCTAAGATATAATCATTTACAAAAAAAATTAATGATTTTCCATTTGTATTAAAAATTATTTAATTAAATCTTAATTGTTATTCTATTATTTATATTAAAATTTATTATATTATATTATAAAATTTATGGGAGGAGCATCATCAATATCTATTAAAGATAATAATAAACAATCAAAATTAATTACCTTCTACAACATGGATTTACCTTCATCTTAATCATAATAAAGTATGCGAATTACTGAATAGACCACTATTAATAATATTATTACATACATTAAAGAAAAACAAGGAGTTTAAAATTTAACTTTGTATTATGAATAATTCCGAATAGATGACAACTCATTTTTCCTATATGAATGCCTTGATATATTGCCAACCAGAGTTTTTGGTTATAGAATTAATTAGTAAGAATAAATTTCTTAATAAAAAACATAATAAATTTCTTAATAAAAAACATAATAAATTTCTTAATAAAACACATAATAAATTCCTTAATAAAACACATAATAAATTCCTTAATAAAACACATAATAAATTCCTTAATAAAACACATAATAAATTTCTTAATAA